GAACATGGGCACTATGACGTCAAAACTTGGATGTATGGCTGCATGTGCACGTGACGTCAGCTACCTGGGGGTGGGGTACTCCAGCAACGGGAGCTGCCTGTGTCTGGGGGGTGAGTGCTTCACGACGTCAGGTAACACGAGCACGTGGCCAGACGTGAGCATCTACATCAAGCACGTGCCGTGTGGAGACAGGGGTGAGTGGACGCCAGAAGACGCACGGTGCCGCTGTAGGGACGGCTTTGTCGGTCAGTTGCTTCATATACATACACTCTTTTTATTGTTTCACGATTATATATATATATATATATATATATATATATATATATATATATATATATATATATATATATATATATATATATATATATATATATATATATATATATATATATAGATATATATAATAGTTTTCGTTTAATTAAGTTCAATGAGAAGAAATGTTAATGTAAGAACCGTCTAGACAAATCGTGTAGTTATAAACATGAGACTGGCTGCCAACTAAAAAAATTAACTGTATGCAGTACATCATCCTCTAATCCCTACCAAAATGTTTTAAGGTGCATGTGAGCTGGTCTAACCTTAACCTCCTCGTCTTTGTCTATCTAGACACATTCATTATTTACCACTCTGTTGGTGTCACTATCATTATATAATGACACAATCATTATATAATGACACAGTCATTCCTTGATTGCCCTTATATGTGTCACACAATCATTATGGAATTGCTGTAGTACAATCTTTGTTTAATCAAACATTATCTGAACTTGTCCCCCCCCCCCCCCCTCCCCGTCCAGGCAACAGCTGCAGTCGGCTGCCCTACAGCTGTGATGAGCTGAGGGATTATGGGTACACTGGCTACATCCGGGCTCCCATTGACGTCATACAAGATGGCAGCCTGATCGTGCCTACCTTGTGCTACGTGACGTCAAACGAGTCGGCCTTGACCTACATCATGTACAGCCAGGGGTCGTACAGCCAAAACAGAACCTGGGCAGAGTTCCAGCAAGGCTTTGTCTACAACACTTCCGGTTTCAGCTCTTCCTTAGAGGGTCTCCAGGTCTACTGGATTGGGCTGGAAGGATTGTACGCCTACAACGTTAACGGAAGTACAAAAATAAACTTGGTGGTGGCCCATCGTTACAACGGCAGCGAGCGAGTATTTCGCCAGAGCTACACGAGTTTTGTCATGCGGGGCTCCAGCAGTGAGTACTCCTACACCATCTCACTAGACGACAGCAGCAGCGAGGGCACGGCTGGCTTCATGGACACGGCGGTGTTAGACAACATCTTGGGACAGACACAGAACGTCCGCTTCTCTACCTACGACAATGATAATGTAAGTCCTGCCAACCCCAGTCCTACCAACCCCAGTCCTACCAACCCCAGTCCTACCAACCCCAGTCCTACCAACCCCAGTCCTACCAACCCCAGTCCTGTCAACCCCAGTCGTGTTAACCCCAGTCCTGTCAACCCTAGTCCTGCCGACCCCAGTCCTGCCGACCCCAGTCCTACCAACCCCAGTCCTACCAACCCCATTCCTACCAACCCCATTCCTACCAACCCCAGTCCTGTCAACCCCAGTCGTGTTAACCCCAGTCCTGTCAACCCTAGTCCTGCCAACCCCAGTCCTGCCAACCCCAGTCCTACCAACCCCAGTCCTACCAACCCCATTCCTACCAACCCCAGTCCTACCAACCCCAGTCCTACCAACCCCAGTCCTACCAACCCCAGTCCTACCAACCCCAGTCCTACCAACCCCAGTTGTGTTATGTAAGTTCGTCTGGACATCCACTTAGGGCTATGTAATATACGAACATTGTTTCTGTTTTAGTCTCATTTAACCGCATTACAGGTGAATACTAAATTTACATGTTGTACTGATCACGTGATTACATTGATCTAACGTCTTTAATTAAAGAAAGTCTGACATGTTTCAACTGTCCCACCCACCCACTCAGTAACAAGCCCCACCCACTCAACAACAAGCCCCACCCACTTATACACCTGCCCCAGCCACTCATTCACCTGCCCCACCCACTGAGTAACAAGCCCCAGCCACCAAGTCACCTGTCACAATCTGGCAATGTTTCCACAGGATGACGAAGACGAGAAAAATCTGGCATCACGAGCTGGCACGGGCTGGTGGTTTGCAGGTGGTGGTGATGATGATGATGATGATGATGACGACGGTGGTACCTACCCCATCAACCCCCTAGGTCTGAACTACATGACCAGTCCAGACAGCACCAAGCCCTACCACATTTCGCTACCATCTCTCAACATGTCAGACGCTCTCATCAGAAACTCGTTTCAGTATGTCAAGATGACATTTAGCACTAACTAGACTTCAAGATGACATTCAGCACTAACTAGATGTCAAGATGACATTTAGCACTAACTAGACTTCAAGATGACATTTAGCACTAACTAGATGTCAAGATGACATTTAGCACTAACTAGACTTCAAGATGACACCCAGCACTAACTAGATGTCAAGATGACATTTAGCACTAAATAGATGTCAAGATGACATTTAGCACTAACTAGATGTCAAGATGACATTTAGCACTAACTAGACTTCAAGATGACATTTAGCACTAACTAGACTTCAAGATGACATTCAGCACTAACTAGACTTCAAGATGACATTTAGCACTAACTAGATGTCAAGATGACATTTAGCACTAACTAGATGTCAAGATGACATTTAGCACTAACTAGACTTCAAGATGACACCCAGCACTAACTAGATGTCAATATGACATTTAGCACTGAATAGACATAGATGTCAAGATGACACCCAGCACTATCTAGATATCAAGATGACATCCGGTAGTAACTAGATGTCATGTGGACATTTAGCAGTGACTAAATTTAGCGAAAATTAGATTTTTTAAAATTCAGGAATAATTAAAATAAATTTGACAAGGAAGACCAATTAATTAGATATTCATCAATCTATCAGTGGTAATGAGATGTCATATTGACTTCCAGAAATACTAAGTTGACATTTAGCAACATAAAGATGCTTTAGATTGACATTTAGCAACATAAAGATGCTTTAGATTGATCGTCTGTCACGTAGTACTGTATACACACAGTCAACACGTTCTCAAAAATATGTATCAAACATCGTCTACATAGCAGAAATTGTTGTCGGTATTTTAGAAATAAGGAATAAAGCAAAACTTCCGGATATCGGAGGTCACACACAAATTGAAAGTAATCCGAGCATAGGATCTTTAATCTATTTTTGTCTACCAAACTCTTCTCGTGCTCCTTCGGAAATTAAGTACAGTACCTTTTACGGCCACCGGAAATCGTCCACAATGATAAAACCTGCGAATACAATGTACAACTTAAATGCAACATTTTGTTCATCAACATCACTCTAAAGATACCCAATTCATCATGTTTAGAGACACACATACACATACAGAAACACACACACAGTCAACAAATACGATTACTCCGACTCAGCGAGGTGCAAAACATTAATATTATGTAAAATTACAATACTTTCTCTTTACTCCGTATACTGGAAAGTAAAAATGTATTTAAAAAATCTTATTGTGTATAGATAACTTGAACTGACTAAAGAAACACACGCAACATATTCTTGTGTAAAATTGATTTGTTTGTATACCAACAAAAGCATGAAGATATGTAAGTCAGATACTACTTTAACGAGTTATATGTTTATGTAATACGTCACTAGTTTGTAATGTTTATCTTTTGCGTATTCAGTTTCTCATGTGTCGCACCCAGAAAACTGCGCAATGGAAAATTGCGGAATGGAAAACTGCGAAATGGAAAACTGCGGAAGCAGAACTTTTTTTTTTCATAAAAAAGTTTTTACTAACAATCTTTTATGTAATAATGCACAAAAAAGTAGAAAATAAATTTTAGACTACTATTTAAATAACTATAAAGAAAAGCGTATGTTTGTGTGTGTAACATGGATACATGTTTTTTGGACTTTTTATAATTGTTTAAATCTTATATAGAAATGATGTCTTTAAAAATCAAGCAGGTATTTTGTAAAGTACTATATTAACATAATATGAATAAAGTCAAATGATAGTCACGACTGGTTTAGTATGAAGCACATGCAGTCATGGATCTTTTAAATGGTACCAGAGCCATGAGTTTCTTCCAGGCATCTCATCTAACCCCCCCCCCACCCCCCCCCCCCCCCCCCGCCCCCCCTCTGAAAATTTCAAGTACCCCGCCCCCCTCCCCCCGCCCCTTGAACAAAAAAAAGTCTGGGAGAAACACTGCTCATTGGCGTCTTATAATGTGTTAACAAAATCTGAAACTGAAGAAAAATAAACCGGGAGTGATCTCCCCTAAACTTTCTCGAATATTTTAATATAACACTACGGGGGATGGCAACTCGGGATATAGACTTCTAGACATGATTTTTAATCCATTTTAAATACTCAAATTTTTTAAAATAGAATATAATCTCGTAGAAAAAAGAAATGCACAGCAAGTGAACGCTAAATAAAGATGTGTATAATAGTGCGCAATATTATTAGTACTTTATAAATTTAAATGCGTTTTTTGAGAAATCGGTAATAGAGTAAATAAGTACTTCCGGTCAACAGAAATTACTCAAAATTTGACAGAAGGTAGAGAATTAGATCTTTTACTTACATATCAAATTTCATTTATCTATCTGAAACAGTACTCAAGTTATAGGCTTTTGAAAAATTCAAAGTAGAAAAAGTACCACTTCCAGTTATCGGCAATCGCTCAAAAGTTGATACGGATCTACGATTTTGATAAAATACTTATATATGAAATGTCATCAACCTAGCTGTAACGGTACTCAAGTTATCGTGTTTACACACACACACACACACACACACAGACACACACACACACAGACACACAGACATACGGACAAGATTGCAAAATTATGTTTTTCCGTATCAGTGAGGTGTAAAACCTCGAGATTTGTAAAAATCTCGATTTTTTTTGCACGATTACAATACTTTCTCTATACTTCGTATATACGAGAAAGTAAAAAAGGTAAAATAATTATTTTAAAGCGCTTTACATTTATTACCTTCCAGGTAAACAATTAAAATCCAATAATAATAATAATTATATCCTAAAGCTACTTCAACACTTAGTGAGATCAAAGTAAACATGACATCTATGTGTGCTGTTCATATAATGGACAAAATGTCACCAAGGTAAACATGACATCTATGTGTACAGTAGATTCAGTATACGGTACATCAAATGTAAAACTACATGTAAATAAAAAAAGCGAGTTTGTAGGAGCTCGGGTCTATCACAGAAAGCAATTGAAAGCCTTTTAAAAATAAACTGTACGGATAAAATGTAATTTGTAAAAGTCCAGCCAATCAAACTATGAGTAAACTCATCACTTGACTGTTATGTTTACACCCTGACTGTCCTAAAACACAAAGATGGGAAAATTCAATTCATGAATTGCAGGTGTCAATACAAGTGTCAATACAAGTGTCAATACAAGTGTCAATACACGTGTCAATACAGGTGTCAAAACAAGTGTCAATACACGTGTCAATACAAGTGTCAATACAAGTGTCAATACAATTGTCAATACAAGTGTCAATACAAATGTCAATACAAGTGTCAATACAAGTGTCAATACAAGTGTCAATACAAGTGTCAATACAAGTGTCAATACAAGTGTCAACACAATTGTCAATACAAGTGTCGATACAAGTGTCAATACAAGTGTCAACACAATTGTCAATACAAGTGTCGATACAAGTGTCAATACAAGTGTCAATACAAGCGTAAATACAAGTGTCATTACAAGTGTCAATACAAGTGTCAATACAAGTGTCAATACAGGTGTCAATACAAGTGTCAATACAAGTGTCAATACAAGCGTAAATACAAGTGTCATTACAAGTGTCAATACAAGTGTCAATACAAGTGTCGATACAAGTGTCAATACAAGTGTCAATACAAGCGTAAATACAAGTGTCATTACAAGTGTCAATACAAGTGTCAATACAAGTGTCAATACAGGTGTCAATACAAGTGTCAATACAAGTGTCAATACAAGCGTAAATACAAGTGTCATTACAAGTGTCAATACAAGTGTCAATACAAGTGTCAATACAGGTGTCAATACAAGTGTCAACACAATTGCCAATACAAGTGTCGATACAAGTCTCAATACAAGTGTCAATACAGTTGTCAAAACAAGTGTCAATACAATACAAGTGTCAATACAAGTGTCAATACAAGTGCAAATACAAGTGTCAATACAAGTGCAAATACAAGTGTCAATACAAGTGTCAATACCAGTGTCAATACAATTGTCAAAACAAGTGTCATTACAAGTGTCAATACAAGTGTCAATACAAGTGTCAATACAAGTGTCAATACAGGTGTCAATACAAGTGTCAATACACATGCCAATACAAGTGTCAATACAAGTGTCAATACAATACAAGTGTCAAAACAAGTGTCAATACAAGTGCCAATACAAGTGTCAATACTAGTGTCAATACAGTTGTCAAAACAAGTGTCAATACAATACAAGTGTCAATACAAGTGTCTATACAAGTGCCAATACAAGTGTAAATACAAGTGCAAATACAAGTGTCAATACAAGTGTCAATACAGTTGTCAATACAAGTGGACATACAATTTAAGTAAGCATACATCTACACACGAGTGAGACGATTACATAGGTAAAATTTTACACCTGTTTGTGTGAGGTCAGCATGTTGACACAAGTGGTGTCGTGAGGTTGTCACGTGACTAGATGTATTATAATGTTGTCACGTTACTAGATGTATTGTAAAGTTGTCACGTTACTAGATGTGTCGTAATGTTGTCACGTTAGTAGATGTGTTGTAATGTTGTTGTGACGGTAATGTGATTCTACCGCCACCCTGTGCTCCGCCTCTTCCTCCCTCTCCCCCCCCCCCCCCCCACCGTTAGACTGTTCAGTCGCTAGATCTACATTGTGACTCATCCCAAGCCGAAAAGGCTTATGGGACAGGCCGTCGCTGGTGCGATATTAGGGCCGGTAACCAATTAACTCGGTCTTTCTACCCCGACCACTGCCCTTGCTCAGCGCACCTGCACGCTAACCCTCACCCTGGGTATAAGCGTCCAAGAAATTAGGAGTTATCGCTTCTTAACAGAAGGTATTTGATTATTTTAAAAAAACTAGAAATCTATAATATCGACCTTAAGTGTCATAGTTTTATTGTCTGCATTTGATGTAATTTTACTATTATCTATATTGTTGTAATTTTCCCTCAACTTGAGTTGTATTGAATGAGTACCTCTCATTACTATATCCCACAACATTGTTCTATCCTACACATGTAACTCTAGTTATGTTGTTTATGTTAGCAATATTTAGTAGGCCATGCCTTCTATTTACAGCGTTCTAGGTCGGGGACCAATCATTCAACTCACAACTGCTATTTTCACAGACAAGGCGAGCGCATGTGTACGCGCTGGAAGTCTCAAGTTTTATAAGTTATGTAAACTCTATATGTGTAATGAAAGTTTATAATTAAGACATCACATTCGCAAAACAAAATTTGTAATAAATTTATAAATAACCTTCTAGGTTATTAGCGTTATTATTTTAATATCAGTAACTGTTGTACTGTATTCCCGGTAGAGAAGCGGCACAGACCCTCCTACCGGTTGAATTTACAGGTTTTACTACTATCACGGTACAAATATACTATTTTACCGTTAACAGTTGTCACGTGACTAGATGTGTTGTAATGTTGTCACGTGACTAGATGTGTCGTACCTGGTTATTCTCATTTCAATCTGATTTCCTGACTCTATGACGTGTTGCTTGGCGTCATCATGCGTCATACAGTGGGCGGGGTGGTTGTTAATGGCCTGTACCACGTCCCCAGTCCTGAGCCCACAGACCGACGCCCTACTCCCGGGATTGACCTACCAAAACAATGTTAGAGGCTACAGATCAGCTGGTTGTACCCACGGGGTATGTCCCCACCCCCCCTCAATGTCTAGTTTGTCGATCACAACATACAGTTCATCGAACTACCATAAACATAATACATAATGTGTACATTTTCATATGTAGTGTAATATGTTTTCAAAGTAAACTATCAATACTATGATATCTAACGCGACAAATATTATCGGGAAAATCCAATGTGAGATTTATTTTTGGGAAATCTTAACGTATGTTGTTTTTGTAGAAAATGTTGACGTGTGTTGTTTTTGTAGGAAATGTTAACGTGTGTTGTTTTTGTAGAAATGTAGAAAATGTTGACGTGTGTTGTTTTTGTAGAAAATACAACTGCTAGGAAGGAAGAGGGTTCTCTGAATATCGGCTTACATTGTATCCATGTTATACACTCTCACAGATACTAACAATAAATAAATAAGTATATATATATATATATATATATATATATATATATATATATATATATATAATGAAGCAAAGGCCAGCATAAAGACCGTACCCACCGTCTGTATAGAGAGAGGGGTGGAGAAATCTGTGCCTCCCTGAAACCTGAAGCCCCAGTTTGAGGTGACGTCATCTTTGGTCAGGTGAATAGTCACTTCCTGTTGCTGGACGTCCGCCATTGTCTCAGCTGGTCAAGTGGGTCAAGGTCGTATGCTGACACTGAAATACGTTTGTAGCAGATTAAGGCACAGGTTTAGTCCGAGTTATGGTTATAAGGCTTGTGTGAGAGAGAGAGAGAGAGAGAGAGAGAGAGAGAGAGAGAGAGAGAGAGAGAGAGAGAGAGAGATAGAGGTAGAAATAAAGAGCAAGAGAAAAGAGTAGTAAAAGCAGCTGACCTCTATAGCTGCTCACACAACTCACTGTGACAACAACACGCACGACAGCTGATTTGTCGACATGATCTATTTATAGACATGAGATTTTCTAGGAATATGTTAACCATGGGAGGTAACTACGGAAAATAAAACTGCTGAGAGTATTCGCATTGTCTCCCTTACAGAAAAACTAATGCTGTAAAATTTATATTCGAATCTTTTGGATCACTTCGTTTAGAAAATAACAGACTTAGTAGCACTGATTTTTTAATGTAACGCTTGGTATAGCATTTCTTTTTGATCAGTTAAAAAGTACAAAGTATATATATATATATATATATATATATATATATATATATATATATATATATATATATATATATATATATATATATATATATATCTGGCATCTTTTATAACGATTAAATGACACAGATTTTTCCTTTAAAATATTAACAAATGGATATTATTACTTTCAATCCCAAAATATTAAAACATCTTGCCTGTAGAAAAGAGAAATCTGTCTAATTAAAAGTTATGTGAAGATTGTCTTGTAAGCCACGCCCGTAACAAGACGTGGTGACGTCACATCTTGTTGGGTTTTAATATTTCTAGTTGTAGATCAGGGGTCTCCAAACTACGGCCCGCGGGCCGGATGCGGCCCGCGATGTCCTATCATCTGGCCCGCGGAGATCTTTTTGTCCACGGAAAAATCGTTTGTTGGTGATGGCTGAGGAACTTTGCTCAGAAAAATGAAAGACATGCCTGGAAGAAACTGGCCCCAAAACTGAAATTTGATAGTTAATGCAAACTAAAAAGTTTGAAGACCCCTGTTGTAGATTATTTAATGTCAACTTCATTTAGAGAAATGAATAATAGGGGAAAATACAACAATTCTTAAATCCTTTACAGTGGCGTAGCGAGGTCGGGTGACACCCGGTGCGGCACTTAATGGTGTCACCCCCCCCCCCCCCAGAGGCGTTGCGACCCTTCCCGGGGACACACTTTCAAGCTTTCGATTTGCACCCCCCCCCCCCTCCTCAAACTTTCGATTTGCACCCTCCCTCAAGTTTTCGATTTGCCCCCCCCCCTCCTCAAACTTTCGATTTGCACCCTCCCTCAAGTTTTTCTCTATATATTTTTTGCCTTGGTGTCACCCCCCTAAATGGTGTCACCCGGTGCGTTCCGCACCCCCCCCCCTCGCTACGCCCCTGAAGCTTTTAAATGCACATATTTTGTCTTACATATTTTAAAGATCAACATTTCTAATATAGAAAAAAACACCTGTGTTTTATTTTCATTTAAGTGCATAAAAGCTTGTTAATTTAAAGGTTTTATATTTATTTTAGTTAACACTTTTAATCTGTGTGTTTCTGTCTCTCACTTTTTAGTTAACACTTTTAATCTGTGTGTTTCTGTCTCTCACTTTTTAGTTAACACTTTTAATCTGTTTGTTTCTGTCTCTCTCTTTATTTTAGTTAACACTTTTAATCTGTGTGTTTCTGTCTCTCTCTTTATTTTAGTTAACACTTTTAATCTGTGTGTTTCTGTCTCTCACTTTTTAGTTAACACTTTTAATCTGTGTGTTTCTGTCTCTCACTTTTTAGTTAACACTTTTAATCTGTGTGTTTCTGTCTCTCTCTTTATTTTAGTTAACACTTTTAATCTGTGTGTTTCTGTCTCTCACTTTTTAGTTAACACTTTTAATCTGTGTGTTTCTGTCTCTCACTTTTTAGTTAACACTTTTAATCTGTGTGTTTCTGTCTCTCTCTTTATTTTAGTTAACACTTTTAATCTGTGTGTTTCTGTCTCTCTCTTTATTTTAGTTAACACTTTTAATCTGTGTGTTTCTGTCTCTCACTTTTTAGTTAACACTTTTAATCTGTGTGTTTCTGTCTCTCTCTTTATTTTAGTTAACACTTTTAATCTGTGTGTTTCTGTCTCTCACTTTTTAGTTAACACTTTTAATCTGTGTGTTTCTGTCTCTCACTTTTTAGTTAACACTTTTAATCTGTGTGTTTCTGTCTCTCTCTTTATTTTAGTTAACACTTTTAATCTGTGTGTTTCTGTCTCTCTCTTTATTTTAGTTAACACTTTTAATCTGTGTGTTTCTGTCTCTCACTTTTTAGTTAACACTTTTAATCTGTGTGTTTCTGTCTCTCACTTTTTAGTTAACACTTTTAATCTGTGTGTTTCTGTCTCTCTCTTTATTTTAGTTAACACTTTTAATCTGTGTGTTTCTGTCTCTCACTTTTTAGTTAACACTTTTAATCTGTGTGTTTCTGTCTCTCACTTTTTAGTTAACACTTTTAATCTGTGTGTTTCTGTCTCTCTCTTTATTTTAGTTAACACTTTTAATCTGTGTGTTTCTGTCTCTCTCTTTATTTTAGTTAACACTTTTAATCTGTGTGTTTCTGTCTCTCACTTTTTAGTTAACACTTTTAATCTGTGTGTTTCTGTCTCTCACTTTTTAGTTAACACTTTTAATCTGTGTGTTTCTGTCTCTCACTTTTTAGTTAACACTTTTAATCTGTGTGTTTCTGTCTCTCACTTTTTAGTTAACACTTTTAATCTGTGTGTTTCTGTCTCTCACTTTTTAGTTAACACTTTTAATCTGTGTGTTTCTGTCTCTCACTTTTTAGTTAACACTTTTAATCTGTGTGTTTCTGTCTCTCACTTTTTAGTTAACACTTTTAATCTGTGTGTTTCTGTCTCTCACTTTTTAGTTAACACTTTTAATCTGTGTGTTTCTGTCTCTCACTTTTTAGTTAACACTTTTAATCTGTGTGTTTCTGTCTCTCACTTTTTAGTTAACACTTTTAATCTGTGTGTTTCTGTCTCTCACTTTTTAGTTAACACTTTTAATCTGTGTGTTTCTGTCTCTCACTTTTTAGTTAACACTTTTAATCTGTGTGTTTCTGTCTCTCACTTTTTAGTTAACACTTTTAATCTGTGTGTTTCTGTCTCTCACTTTTTAGTTAACACTTTTAATCTGTGTGTTTCTGTCTCTCACTTTTTAGTTAACACTTTTAATCTGTGTGTTTCTGTCTCTCACTTTTTAGTTAACACTTTTAATCTGTGTGTTTCTGTCTCTCACTTTTTAGTTAACACTTTTAATCTGTGTGTTTCTGTCTCTCACTTTTTAGTTAACACTTTTAATCTGTGTGTTTCTGTCTCTCACTTTTTAGTTAACACTTTTAATCTGTGTGTTTCTGTCTCTCACTTTTTAGTTAACACTTTTAATCTGTGTGTTTCTGTCTCTCACTTTTTAGTTAACACTTTTAATCTGTGTGTTTCTGTCTCTCACTTTTTAGTTAACACTTTTAATCTGTGTGTTTCTGTCTCTCACTTTTTAGTTAACACTTTTAATCTGTGTGTTTCTGTCTCTCACTTTTTAGTTAACACTTTTAATCTGTGTGTTTCTGTCTCTCACTTTTTAGTTAACACTTTTAATCTGTGTGTTTCTGTCTCTCACTTTTTAGTTAACACTTTTAATCTGTGTGTTTCTGTCTCTCACTTTTTAGTTAACACTTTTAATCTGTGTGTTTCTGTCTCTCACTTTTTAGTTAACACTTTTAATCTGTGTGTTTCTGTCTCTCACTTTTTAGTTAACACTTTTAATCTGTGTGTTTCTGTCTCTCACTTTTTAGTTAACACTTTTAATCTGTGTGTTTCTGTCTCTCACTTTTTAGTTAACACTTTTAATCTGTGTGTTTCTGTCTCTCACTTTTTAGTTAACACTTTTAATCTGTGTGTTTCTGTCTCTCACTTTTTAGTTAACACTTTTAATCTGTGTGTTTCTGTCTCTCACTTTTTAGTTAACACTTTTAATCTGTGTGTTTCTGTCTCTCACTTTTTAGTTAACACTTTTAATCTGTGTGTTTCTGTCTCTCACTTTTTAGTTAACACTTTTAATCTGTGTGTTTCTGTCTCTCACTTTTTAGTTAACACTTTTAATCTGTGTGTTTCTGTCTCTCACTTTTTAGTTAACACTTTTAATCTGTGTGTTTCTGTCTCTCACTTTTTAGTTAACACTTTTAATCTGTGTGTTTCTGTCTCTCACTTTTTAGTTAACACTTTTAATCTGTGTGTTTCTGTCTCTCACTTTTTAGTTAACACTTTTAATCTGTGTGTTTCTGTCTCTCACTTTTTAGTTAACACTTTTAATCTGTGTGTTTCTGTCTCTCACTTTTTAGTTAACACTTTTAATCTGTGTGTTTCTGTCTCTCACTTTTTAGTTAACACTTTTAATCTGTGTGTTTCTGTCTCTCACTTTTTAGTTAACACTTTTAATCTGTGTGTTTCTGTCTCTCACTTTTTAGTTAACACTTTTAATCTGTGTGTTTCTGTCTCTCACTTTTTAGTTAACACTTTTAATCTGTGTGTTTCTGTCTCTCACTTTTTAGTTAACACTTTTAATCTGTGTGTTTCTGTCTCTCACTTTTTAGTTAACACTTTTAATCTGTGTGTTTCTGTCTCTCACTTTTTAGTTAACACTTTTAATCTGTGTGTTTCTGTCTCTCACTTTTTAGTTAACACTTTTAATCTGTGTGTTTCTGTCTCTCACTTTTTAGTTAACACTTTTAATCTGTGTGTTTCTGTCTCTCACTTTTTAGTTAACACTTTTAATCTGTGTGTTTCTGTCTCTCACTTTTTAGTTAACACTTTTAATCTGTGTGTTTCTGTCTCTCACTTTTTAGTTAACACTTTTAATCTGTGTGTTTCTGTCTCTCACTTTTTAGTTAACACTTTTAATCTGTGTGTTTCTGTCTCTCACTTTTTAGTTAACACTTTTAATCTGTGTGTTTCTGTCTCTCTCTTTATTTTAGTTAACACTTTTAATCTGTGTGTTTCTGTCTCTCTCTTTATTTTAGTTAACACTTTTAATCTGTGTGTTTCTGTCTCTCACTTTTTAGTTAACACTTTTAATCTGTGTGTTTCTGTCTCTCTCTTTATTTTAGTTAACACTTTTAATCTGTGTGTTTCTGTCTCTCACTTTTTAGTTAACACTTTTAATCTGTGTGTTTCTGTCTCTCACTTTTTAGTTAACACTTTTAATCTGTGTGTTTCTGTCTCTCACTTTTTAGTTAACACTTTTAATCTGTGTGTTTCTGTCTCTCACTTTTTAGTTAACACTTTTAATCTGTGTGTTTCTGTCTCTCACTTTTTAGTTAACACTTTTAATCTGTGTGTTTCTGTCTCTCACTTTTTAGTTAACACTTTTAATCTGTGTGTTTCTGTCTCTCACTTTTTAGTTAACACTTTTAATCTGTGTGTTTCTGTCTCTCACTTTTTAGTTAACACTTTTAATCTGTGTGTTTCTGTCTCTCTTTCTCTCCCCTTCTCTCCCCTTCTCTTTAAATATTTCAAAAAACAGCATCCACACACGTCAACAAAACAATCGGCCAGACCTTGACCTTGGCTTTCCAGGAAAATGTTTTGTATTTCCATAAAAACTTTTAAAATACTTACTGTGGTTCTAGCTCAACAAATAATGACGTCACGCATCGGGATCAAATCAATGGCTATAAATAGATTGAATACATTCTTATCAACACGTGACCGAAAGTCTGATAAAGATAATCATATGATATTGTTAACACTAGATAATTGAGACAAAATTTGATCTGTTGGTAACCAACGGGTAGTCGTTTAACCTAAGTGTAGCAATCAAGTAGACGGTTGGAACAAAAGATCATTGATCTAACACCCCACAAGTTTGGTAACCAACGGGTAGTCGTTTAGCCTAAGTGTAGCATTCAAGTAGACGGCTGAAACAAAAGATCATTGATCTAACACACGTCCCAGCATGCGTGAACACATCGTCTGCACGCGTTTCATTAAGTCAAGCGTTGACTCGGTCACCATAGGTTATTCCCCTACCATGTCAGGTTATTCCCCTACCATGTCAGGTTATTCCCCCACCCTGCCATGTCAGGTAATTCCCCCACCCTGCCATGTCAGATAATTCCCCCCCCCCACACTGCCATGTCAGGTAATTCCCCCACACTGCCATGTCAGGTTATTCCCCCCCCCCACACTGCCATGTCAGATAATTCCCCCCCCCCACCCTGCCATGTCAGATAATTCCCCCCCCCCCCACACTGCCATGTCAGGTAATTCCCCCACACTGCCATGTCAGGTTATTCCCCCCCCCCCCCCCCACACTGCCATGTCAGATAATTCCCCCCCCCCACCCTGCCATGTCAGATAATTCCCCCCCCCCCCCCCCCCACACTGCCATGTCAGGTAATTCCCCCACCCCACCCCACTCTCACCTTCCTATCAACTCCCCCCCCCCCCCTTTTTTTTGTGAGTCCCTATTAGACATGTAAGAAAACTGACATTCATAATGTCTACATTTTAACATCTAAAGTACGACTTAAATCTCACCTGATAGTTTAACCATCTGTAGCCGTTCATACCTGCTATCCCACGCTTCACTGAAGGTCATTCACACCATAATACAAGACGTGACGGATCTTAACAAGACACATTTGGTTTGAACTTGTTTCAAATCGCAGACCTCCCGCATATTTTCCCACAAATTCCCCGGTCATTGATTGAAATCACGCTAGTGTCCCTTGGTCCACTTTGAATGTAACACATTAAATTTACTTCTAATTTTATTTTGCTGACAGCAGCATGAAGCTAGAGAGTACAACAAACTTTTACCAACAAACACCGACGCCAGCCGCTATAGTCTCTGAATGCCACGACATCGGCTGTTCGAACCAGGAAAACCACGAACTATGACCCAGTTCGTCCCAATATTTTCGGAAAAATCCGATTGATTTGTGATACCGTATTGAACTGTGTGGGTATCAAACTGGTTGGCTACGGGTTGGTACCACAGCTGGGAGAACAGCAGGATGTTATTTGGGTTGCTGAGTGGTTGGAGGTAGTGCCATTTAGATGGTTGGCACATTGTTCGTGGTGTCATTAGATGGTTGGCACATTGTTCGTGGTGTCATTAGATGGTTGGCACATTGTTCGTGGTGTTAGAGAATGAGACACACCACCTTAACACCTGCGTGTGTCCTGTGTGTTCTGGTGATTTTTGTGGGTACGTTGTCAGGTGCCACAGGTAAGTTTTCTTTTAATTACATCAGGCGATAATTGTAGTAATTAGCTGTTTATGTCACAAGGCAATAATTGAAGTAATTAGCTGTTTATGTCACTAGGTGATAATTGTAGTAATTAGCTGTTTATGTCACTAGGTGATAATTGTAGTAATTAGCTGTTTATGTCACTAGGTGATAATTAAAGTAATTAGCTGTTTATGCCGCTATCGACTAGATCTTTAGAACATACACGTGGAAGAGCTGGCGTAATAGGACTATGGTTTGACGCTAAACTGCTAAACCTGTAGAGTTGACGAGTAGTCTTGCGGGTGTTGAATGCAACATTTGCAATACAGATTCGACCTTAAAATTGTGTTTTCTTTCAGGCAGGTTGGAAGAAGCGGTGTTTACAGTAAACAACGTTGATCGTGTTGATGGTGTTGATCCTGGCCACCACAGCTACCGGATGCTAGAGGGCGTCACGGCTACCTTCAACTGTACGGCTACTGGCTACAGGCATGGTGACACGCTCACCATCTCAGTGGGAGCTGGTGACAACTTGAATGTCACCAAAACACACAATTACACAAGTGACATCTTGAATGTCACCAAAACACACAATTACACAAGTGACATCTTGAATGTCACCAAAACACACAATTACACAAGTGACATCCTAAATGTCACAGAGTCACAAACTGTCACATACACCATACACAACGTCACGTGTGCTGATATGGGCACATACACGTGTACAGTGGGACATACAGGACAAAGGTCACATGACATCAACATACATCTACTGATATGGCATTGTGAGTATAGCAGCTACTGCATTAAGGTTTAAATACATTATCTTCACGATTAACTAACACATATACACATTTTTATCAATTCAAAAACAAATATAATATACTTTAAAAAATATTTGTGTAGTCTGTGAAATGTATTTTTTAAAAATCTATCAAGTGAAAGTTGATAAAAAGACGGTCATGTTGTATAATTTCACTAATTAATTAGCCCCGAATGTCTATCTCTCCACCCAGGTCCCCCCCAACTGTGTCGGGTCCAGCACCATCAGCAGACTATCACAGCTGTACCATACAGACCAGCTGATGTGTCCTTCTGTGTCGTGACACACCCAGTTCACACACCCCACCCCCTGCTAAAGATTGGGGACACAACCCTGACCCCAGGGGGAGATGACCCACTGTACATCTTCAACTGGACCCACCTTGGGGGGTTGTACCACACCGTCCAGCTTCACATAAAGAACGTCACTCAGTTCCAGTACATGAACCTAGTGCTCTTCACATCAGAGAGAAAAGTCTTGGCACACAGGATCAAAGTTAGACCAGGTCTGTCTGTCTGTCTGTCTGTCTGTCTGTCTGTCTGTCTGTCTGTCTGTCTGTCTGTCTGTCTGTCTGTCTGTCTGTCTGTCTGTCTGTCTGTCTGTCTGTCTGTCTGTCTGTCTGTCTGTCTGTCTGTCTGTCTGTCTGTCTGTCTGTCTGTCTGTCTGTCTGTCTGTCTGTCTGTCTGTCTGTCTGTCTGTCTGTCTGTCTGTCTGTCTGTCTGTCTGTCTGTCTGTCTGTCTGTCTGTCTGTCTGTCTGTCTGTCTGTCTGTCTGTCTGTCTGTCTGTCTGTCTGTCTGTCTGTCTGTCTGTCTGTCTGTCTGTCTGTCTGTCTGTCTGTCTGTCTGTCTGTCTGTCTGTCTGTCTGTCTGTCTGTCTGTCTGTCTGTCTGTCTGTCTGTCTGTCTGTCTGTCTGTCTGTCTGTCTGTCTGTCTGTCTGTCTGTCTGTCTGTCTGTCTGTCTGTCTGTCTGTCTGTCTGTCTGTCTGTCTGTCTGTCAGATGTGTAAAATCTTGGAACACAGGGTCAAATTTGGAACAGGAAACGTTTTTATTGAAAATGTAGTCATAGCCGTCATAGAGTTAGTTTGACATTGTTAAAGCAGCAATTGAAGAGTAACATATTTATACACATTCGCTCAACTGAATGTGTACACAGTGTACGGCTACTACGTCAACAGTATTGTACATGATGTTTGTGTGTTCTCCCACCCAGACCCCCCTAAACTATACTATTTATCGAAGTGACTCAGTCTTTTAAAGTCACGTAAATCAAGTCATAGAAACACAGTCACGTGGTATGTTAGTTATATTGTTGTGTACATGCAGTCGTGCCTCTAATTTCCGACACTTGATGTGAACTTTCTCTTGACTCTAAAATATATCGTAGTGAACAGTTGTAGTGTGAAGCTAGAGTGATCTGTTAACTTTTTTATCAACTTGATTGTATTTTTTTGTAAGCTTTATGTCATCTACCGCATTCAACAAACTAATTTTACCTCTGGCCAGATGAGAAGATAGAGTTTAATCACCAAGTCGACTACAACAACAGTGAGCTGATTTTAACCTGCAAGGCTACAGGCTACCCAATAGATGTTCAAATCAGTTCGCGTAAAAATCAGACACTTCTTAGTTTAAAAAATAACACAAAGGGCGATAACTCTAGACGTTTAGAGTACGTGGAAATGGATCTGTCGTGTGAGCGCCACATGAGAACGTTCGAATGTCGAGCAACTTCCATCTTTGAGGGTCAGCTTACAGCATCAACTGACGTCAACCTAACATGGTGTAAGTACTAGATGTAATGTGATGTAAGGGTAGATGTAATGTGATGTAAGGGTAGATGTAATGTGATGTAAGTGTAGATGTAATGTGATGTAAGTGTAGATGTAATGTGATGTAAGGGTAGATGTAATGTGATGTAAGGGTAGATGTAATGTGATGTAAGGGTAGATGTAATGTGATGTAAGGGTAGATGTAATGTGATGTAAGGGTAGATGTAATGTTAGATACCTGTGATGTAAGAGTAGATGTAATGTGATGTAAGGGTAGATGTAATGTTAGATACTTGTGATGTGAAGGTAAGTGCAATGTATTATTAAATATCACAGTAGTGCGTATATTTGTAGGTTAGGGGGTCGACCCTTTAGATGCCGTATAGATTGTTAAATCTACTAAGTCCAATGTAATAATATTCAAGCTAATTTACTAAAATATTTCAGGCATATAATAGTTTAGTAAATAAGCTCCATTATTTACTGTGTTTTTATACTTGTTTTTGTTTTTAACTAATTAATTTTTATTTGGTGTACTATTATTTAACTTCGGCTTGCCCTTATTTGTCTTAAATCTATTTTAATGGCCAATCTAGAAACATTAATTAATTTTTTTTCAAATTAGGATAATTGTCAAGTGTATCCTATTAAAAACGAATTCATAGTAGTGTTGGAACCTAATAAAAATAACTAGCAGACGTATCGTTAAAGGCTATAACCGACAGAAAATGTTGATTTATAATGCGTTCAACCACATGGTCTTATTTCCCATGGAAGCCATGTTTGTCGTGAAATTAAGTAAAGTATTTGTTCTGAAATATATATATATATATATATATATATATATATATATATATATATATATATATATATATATATATATATATATATATTGCATCTAGTGTGACTGTTGATGACACGCAGAAAACTAAAATAACACCCAGATTGAGTTTTTGTGCTATTTTTACAACATCTCCCTAGGTCCCATCAGTTTCTGCGACCAAAGTTTTACCGGTGAAGTGAAGGCTGTGATAGGGAAACCTCTGAGGTTCACCTTCTGTGTCGTCTCGGGTTCGAATCTCTCCGCCTCTAGGCTGGTTTATGGCGAGAAGGTCAACATTCAACCAAAACATGTCGACTTTCAATACACCGTTGCCATGGAGATTAGTGACGTTACCAGCCACTACATGAACCGTAACTTGACTTTACTGGCAGACGACAGGAACCTTTCTATATTTATCACAGAAAATCTAGGTCAGTCCACGACTCATGCCGGTACAGCTTTGTGTCGATTGAAGGTAGAAGTGAGCTCAACATTATCAGGTGTTAGAAGGTCATGGCCGTACATCTTATGTTGATTGAAGGTAGAAGTGAGCTCAATATCATCAGGTATAAGAAGGTCTTGGCGGGTCAAACACGATGTTTGGAAGATTGTATTGTCTTAAATGTCAACAGGAAAAGGTGAAAACGGAAAATGTCGCATGTGCAATTTTTTTTTAAATCGATAAATTAGAGACGTTAGCCAAAAATGTTCACATGCACAACTAGAGCACAATAAAATATTGTTCCATGGAATATGATCAAATAGAAATAATTGAGTAATGAGTTTTTTTAAGATTCGGCCCCCCTCCCCCCTTTAAACATTGGAACCATTGAGTCTATTCAAGCAGTTGGTGACATTTAACATGACGACTGAATAATTACATCACAATCAGATGATTGACTTAAGCTAATGTCCAATTTGATTTTCTCTTTTTTTAGTCTGTCTAACGGATATCATAAAGTTACTTTAAAGCTGTTTTCAGTAGATATGTTGTCAGATAAAATACGATGTACTAGATATTAGTAAAGTGCCACAAATTAATGTGATGCTAATTATTTTACTTAGTAAAGTGCCACAAATGAACGACATGCTAATGATTTTACATAGTAAAGTGCCACAAATGACCGATATGCTAATTATTTTACTTAGTATAGTGCCACAAATGAACGATATGCTAATTATTTTACTTAGTATAGTGCCACAAATGACCGATATGCTAATTATTTTACTTAGTAAAGTGCCACAAATGAACGATATGCTAATTATTTTACTTAGTATAGTGCCACAAATGAACGATATGCTAATTATTTTATTTAGTAAAGTGCCACAAATAATTGATATGCTAATGATTTTCCTTCCACTCATGAACCTGCTGTAGACCCGCCTGTGTTCTGTACTGGGAGACAACCGAGAAGACGACACCATGTTGTGTTGTCTGACACAGCTGTGGTTGAGTTGTGTGTCCACTCCGCTCAACCGTTAGCTCGTCACGTGACCATCAACAACCACACGTTCCACATGGGTGGAGGTGCCACACGCTCCGACAAAATCTTCCTGGAGCTCCAGGAACAAGACGACAACCAACACGTATTGAAGCTGAAGCTAAGGAATGTGACACATCTGGACTTTACATCCTACACTGTGACTATATCTAATGTCAAAAATACAAGCCTGATTTATAAATTTACTTTAATGAACTGCACAGGTATGTCTCCATAATATTATTGAACACATTTTTTGTTATGCCACTGTTGATGATTTGCTATGTTGAATGACGTTTTAGATGAAAGAATAGATCTGTATGTAGATCAAAGAATAGACTTGTATGTTTATAAAAAGATGACAGAAGTTAACATAAATTACTTACTAATTATCTTGTACATGTCCACCTCTCCCCCACCCCAGGTCCCCACCCAAGACTGTGTGAGAACTCACCCCACGACCAGCACGTGAGGGCCAACCTTGGAGACACTGCTCACGTCGAGTTCTGCGTGGTGCACGCTGGTCCAGACCTCAACACGCACATAGGGCTGGACGGCACACCTTATCACGTGACTCCCTGCCAGGACACGACTCATAGGTCGACCATTGAGCGAGTCAACATCTGTGTACAATCAGAGAGTGACTCTCCACGTGACTCTCGGCGTGACTCTTGGCGTCACGTTGTCCGTGTGTCGATACACAATGTTTCGGCTGAGGACTTCACCAGACACAACATGTTGGTTAAGGCGACGCCGTGTCAGAGAATGGAGTACACATTCAAGTTGTCGCAACACACAGGTAACACATATTCAAATTGTCGCAACACACAGGTAACACACATTCAAATTGTCGCAACATAAAGGTAACACACCTTCAAATTGTCGCAACATACAGGTAATACACCTTCAAATTGTCGCAACACACATGTAACACAAACATACAGGTAACACACCTTCAAATTGTCGCAACATACAGGTAACACACCTTCAAATTGTCGCAACATAAAGGTAACACACCTTCAAATTGTCGCAACATAAAGGTAACACACCTTCAAATTGTCGCAACACACATGTAACACACATTCAAATTGTCGCAACATACAGGTAACACACCTTCAAATTTGTCACAACATACAGGTAACACACCTTCAAATTGTCGCAACACACAGGTAACACACATTCAAATTGTCGCAATACACAGGTAACACACATTCAAATTGTCGCAACATAAAGGTAACACACCTTCAAATTGTCGCAACACACAGGTAACACACATTCAAATTGTCGCAATACACAGGTAACACACATTCAAATTGTCGCAACATACAGGTAACACACCTTCAAATCGACGCAACATACAGGTAACACACCTTCAAATTGTCGCAACATACAGGTAACACACCTTCAAATCGTCGCAACACACAGGTAACCCAATATGTACCTTCACACACCACAATATTATAAATTGTTCGACGCCGTTGCACGAGTATTATAACAAAAACTTTCAAACCTGCAATACACACATTTTCAACACGAATTAGACTACGGCGTATTAAAATGTGTTTTTATATACACCCTCACCATTACAAAATATCCCCTCCATTCTAAAACATCCACTCTATTACAAAACATCCAAACCATCAAAAACAACCCCTCCATTACAAAACAGCCAACCAATACAAAACATCCAACCTTTACAAAACATCCAACCTTTACAAAACATTCAACCATTACTAAACATCCAACCATTACTAAACATCAAACCATTACAAAACATCCCTCTATTAAAAAACAACCCCTCCATTACAAAACATCCAACCATTACAAAACATCCAACCATTACAAAACATCCAACCATTACAAAACATCCAACCATTACAAAACATCCAACCATTACAAAACATCCAACCATTACAAAACATCCACACCATTACAAAACATCCAATCATTACAAAACATCCAACCATTACAAAACATCCAACCATTACAAAACATCCAACCATTACAAAACATCCAACCATTACAAAACATCCAACCGTTACAAAACATCCAACCGTTACAAAACATCCAACCATTACAAAACATCCAACCATTACAAAACATCCAACCATTACAAAACATCCAACCATTACAAAACATCCAACCATTACAAAACATCCAACCATTACAAAACATCCAACCATTACAAAACATCCAACCATTACAAAACATCCAACCATTACAAAACATCCAACCATTACAATTCTACTCCCCAAGGACGGCCCAAGTTTTGCCACGGATTTGATCACGTGACAAAGATCTACGCCAAACTGTCCCAGAATGCCACAGTGTTTGTGTGTTTGAACACAACGCCATCAACCACCCACATGGTGAGCATCAACAACATCAACCACTCCCTCCACACAACGGACGACAACAGCAGCCTGAGGGTGACGGCTAGCACTAACAGGACCACACACACCAGACTGGTGCTGCTAGAGTTCGTACGGCTAAAGCCGGAAGAATTCCAGCAATACACGGTCACGGTTTTCTCCGAGGCGACGAGAGAAAACCGGAGCTACGTTTTTTACCTGAAGGATAAGACAGGTGAGTCTGGTTGGAGGTCATGGTGTCATGGTGTCATGGTGTCATGGTGTCATGGTGTCATGGTGTCATGGTGTCATGGTGTCATGGTGTCATGGTGTCATGGTGTCATGGTGTCATGGTGTCATGGTGTCATGGTGTCATGGTGTCATGGTGTCATGGTGTCATGGTGTCATGGTGTCATGGTGTCATGGTGTCATGGTGTCATGGTGTCATGGTGTCATGGTGTCATGGTGTCATGGTGTCATGGTGTCATGGTGTCATGGTGTCATGGTGTCATGGTGTCATGGTGTCATGGTGTCATGGTGTCATGGTGTCATGGTGTCGTGGTGTCGTGGTGTCATGGTGTCATGGTGTCGTGGTGTCGTGGTGTCATGGTGTCATGGTGTCATGGTGTCGTGGTGTCATGGTGTCATGGTGTCGTGGTGTCGTGGTGTCATGGTGTCATGGTGTCATGGTGTCGTGGTGTCATGGTGTCGTGGTGTCGTGGTGTCGTGGTGTCATGGTGTCATGGTGTCATGGTGTCGTGGTGTCATGGTGTCATGGTGTCGTGGTGTCGTGGTGTCGTGGTGCCATGGTGTCATGGTGTCATGGTGTCATGGTGTCATGGTGTCATGGTGTCGTGGTGTCGTGGTGTCGTGGTGTCGTGGTGTCATGGTGTCGTGGTGTCGTGGTGTCATGGTGTCATGGTGTCGTGGTGTCGTGGTGCCATGGTGTCATGGTGTCATGGTGTCATGGTGTCTGTGATGTATTTTATATCATCTGTTCGCTAGTGTGGAAGTTATACAACTGTAAGACTCAGCAATTTCTGGAACTGTCGCACCCCATTTTTTGTGTCCATGAAGTTTGAGTGTAAATTTGAGTGTAAATTTGAGTGTAAATTTGAGTGTAAATTTGAGTGTAAATTTGAGTGTAAATTTGAGTGTAAATTTGAGTGTAAATTTGAGTGTAAATTTGAGTGTAAATTTGAGTGTAAATTTGAGTGTAAATTTGAGTGTAAATTTGAGTGTAAATTTGAGTGTAAATTTGAGTGTAAATTTGAGTGTAAATTTGAGTGTAAATTTGAGTGTAAATTTGAGTGTAAATTTGAGTGTAAATTTGAGTGTAAATTTGAGTGTAAATGTGAGTGTAAATGTGAGTGTAAATGTGAGTGTAAATGTGAGTGTAAATGTGAGTGTAAATGTGAGTGTAAATGTGAGTGTAAATTTGAGTGTAAATTTGAGTGTAAATTTGAGTGTAAATTTGAGTGTAAATTTGAGTGTAAATTTGAGTGTAAATTTGAGTGTAAATTTGAGTGTAAATTTGAGTGTAAATTTGAGTGTAAATTTGAGTGTAAATTTGCGTGTAAATGTGAGTGTAAATGTGAGTGTAAATGTGAGTGTAAATGTGAGTGTAAATGTGAGTGTAAATGTGAGTGTAAATGTGAGTGTAAATGTGAGTGTAAATGTGAGTGTAAATGTGAGTGTAAATGTGAGTGTAAATGTGAGTGTAAATGTGAGTGTAAATGTGAGTGTAAATGTGAGTGTAAATGTGAGTGTAAATGTGAGTGTAAATGTGAGTGTAAATGTGAGTGTAAATGTGAGTGTAAATGTGAGTGTAAATGTGAGTGTAAATGTGAGTGTAAATGTGAGTGTAAATGTGAGTGTAAATTTGAGTGTAAATTTGAGTGTAAATTTGAGTGTAAATTTGAGTGTAAATTTGAGTGTAAATTTGAGTGTAAATTTGAGTGTAAATTTGAGTGTAAATTTGAGTGTAAATTTGAGTGTAAATTTGAGTGTAAATTTGAGTGTAAATTTGAGTGTAAATTTGAGTGTAAATTTGAGTGTAAATTTGAGTGTAAATTTGAGTGTAAATTTGAGTGTAAATTTGAGTGTAAATTTGAGTGTAAATTTGAGTGTAAATTTGAGTGTAAATTTGAGTGTAAATTTGAGTGTAAACTTGAGTGTAAACTTGAGTGTAAATTTGAGTGTAAATTTGAGTGTAAATTTGAGTGTAAATTTGAGTGTAAATTTGAGTGTAAATTTGAGTGTAAATGTGAGTGTAAATTTGAGTGTAAATGTGAGTGTAAATTTGAGTGTAAATGTGAGTGTAAATGTGAGTGTAAATTTGAGTGTAAATTTGAGTGTAAATTTGAGTGTAAATTTGAGTGTAAATTTGAGTGTAAATTTGAGTGTAAATTTGAGTGTAAATGTGAGTGTAAATGTGAGTGTAGATTTGAGTGTAAATGTGAGTGTAAATGTGAATGTAAATGTGAGTGTAAATTTGAGTGTAAATTTGAGTGTAAATTTGAGTGTAAATTTGAGTGTAAATTTGAGTGTAAATTTGAGTGTAAATTTGAGTGTAAATTTGAGTGTAAATTTGAGTGTAAATTTGAGTGTAAATTTGAGTGTAAATTTGAGTGTAAATTTGAGTGTAAATTTGAGTGTAAATTTGAGTGTAAATTTGAGTGTAAATTTGAGTGTAAATTTGAGTGTAAATTTGAGTGTAAATTTGAGTGTAAATTTGAGTGTAAATTTGAGTGTAAATTTGAGTGTAAATTTGAGTGTAAATTTGAGTGTAAATTTGAGTGTAAATTTGAGTGTAAATTTGAGTGTAAATTTGAGTGTAAATTTGAGTGTAAATTTGAGTGTAAATTTGAGTGTAAATTTGAGTGTAAATGTTGCGACACTGTTGGTAGTTCATCTTTTGTTATCTTTTGTGTGGGAATGATTGTTTATATCTAAATTTAGTATCATCACGTGATGTGTCCCCACAGATATAGAGAAGCGCGTGCTGATGACGGTCAATGACGTCATACAACCCGCGGGAAACGAAGCGCCACTTCTAGTGTCTGCTGGTACTGACGTCACAATCTCCTGCCTGTTGACTGACCAAGATATGGTTGGCCAAACAGCTCTGGCCATCACTGGCCAGACGGCACGGTTGAACACATCACACGGTGGGCGGCAACTGGTTCACCAACTTGACAACATCAGCTGTGCCGACATGGACACCTACCACTGTACTGGGAAATATTTCAACCAAGTTTTCTTTGACACCCAGCTAAAGCTTATCGTCAAAAATTGTAAGTCTACGTGTCGGATATTTCATCAGATCTGCTGCCCTTTGATGGCAGGCCTTTGTATGTATTGTTGTACAAGTAATTGATCGAATATATTAATTGTAACATTTGTTGCCAATGTTTTAACTTGATGCATATTCTATGATTCTATAGGACTATGGAATTTTACATTTTTCAAAATTAATTTTATCGAGTTGTCTTGGGCTTCAAACAGAGCGACGTCTATAAGCTACTAACTGGCTAAAGATGGCGTGTTGTTTAAGGGTTAGGGTCTAGATAAAATTGTGAGTGGGTTAGGGTCTAGATAAAGTTGTGAAAGGGTTAGGGTTAGGGTCTAGATAAAGTTATGAGTGGGTTAGGGTTAGGGTCTAGATAAAATTGTGAGTGGGTTAGGGTTAGGGCATAGATAAAGTTGTGAGTGGGTTAGGGTTAGGGTCTAGATAAAGTTGTGAGTGGGTTAGGGTCTAGATAAAGTTGTGAGTGGGTTAGGGTCTAGATAAAGTTGTGAGTGGGTTAGGGTTAGGGTCTAGATAAAGTTGTGAGTGGGTTAGGGTCTAGATAATGTTGTGAGTGGGTTAGGGTTAGGGTCTAGATATAGTTGTGAGTGGGTTAGGGTCTAGATAAAGTTGTGAGTGGGTTAGGGTTAGGGTCTAGATAAAGTTGTGAGTGGGTTAGGGTTAGGGTCTAGATAAAGTTGTGAGTGGGTTAGGGTCTAGATAAAGTTGTGAAAGGGTTAGGGTTAGGGTCTAGATAAAGTTGTGAGTGGGTTAGGGTTAGGGTCTAGATAAAGTTGTGAGTGGGTTAGGGTTAGGGCATAGATAAAGTTGTGAGTGGGTTAGGGTTAGGGTCTAGATAAAGTTGTGAGTGGGATAGGGTCTAGATAAAGTTGTGAGTGGGTTAGGGTCTAGATAAAGTTGTGAGTGGGTTAGGGTTAGGGTCTAGATAAAGTTGTGAGTGGGTTAGGGTCTAGATAAAGTTGTGAGTGGGTTAGGGTCTAGATAAAGTTGTGAGTGGGTTAGGGTTAGGGTCTAGATAAAGTTGTGAGTGGGTTAGGGTCTAGATAATCTTGTGAGTGGGTTAGGGTTAGGGTCTAGATATAGTTGTGAGTGGGTTAGGGTCTAGATAAAGTTGTGAGTGGGTTAGGGTTAGGGCATAGATAAAGTTGTGAGTGGGTTAGGGTCTAGATAAAGTTGTGAGTGGGTTAGGGTTAGGGTCTAGATAAAGTTGTGAGTGGGTTAGGGTTAGGGTCTAGATAAAGTTGTGAGTGGGTTAGGGTTAGGGTCTAGATAAAGTTGTGAGTGGGTTAGGGTCTAGATAAAGTTGTGAGTGGGTTAGGGTTAGGGTCTAGATAAAGTTGTGAGTGGGTTAGGGTCTAGATAATGTTGTGAGTGGGTTAGGGTTAGGGTCTAGATAAAGTTGTGAGTGGGTTAGGGTCTAGATAAAGTTGTGAGTGGGTTAGGGTCTAGATAAAGTAGTGAGTGGGTTAGGGTTAGGGTCTAGATAAAGTTGTGAGTGGGTTAGGGTCTAGATAAAGTTGTGAGTGGGTTAGGGTCTAGATAATGTTGTGAGTGGGTTAGGGTTAGGGTCTAGATAAAGTTGTGAGTGGGTTAGGGTCTAGATAAAGTTGTGAGTGGGTTAGGGTTAGGGTCTAGATAAAGTTGTGAGTGGGTTAGGGTCTAGATAAAGTTGTGAGTGGGTTAGGGTCTAGATAATGTTGTGAGTGGGTTAGGGTTAGGGTCTAGATAAAGTTGTGAGTGGGTTAGGGTCTAGATAAAGTTGTGAGTGGGTTAGGGTTAGGATCTAGATAAAGTTGTGAGTGGGTTAGGGTCTAGATAAAGTTGTGAGTGGGTTAGGGTTAGGGTCTAGATAAAGTTGTGAGTGGGTTAGGGTCTAGATAAAGTTGTGAGTGGGTTAGGGTTAGGGTCTAGATAAAGTTGTGAGTGGGTTAGGGTCTAGATAAAGTTGTGAGTGGGTTAGGGTCTAGGTAAAGTTGTGAGTGGGTTAGGGTCTAGATAAAGTTGTGAGTGGGTTAGGGTCTAGATAAAGTTGTGAGTGGGTTAGGGTCTAGATAATGTTGTGAGTGGGTTAGGGTTAGGGTCTAGATAAAGTTGTGAGTGGGTTAGGGTCTAGATAAAGTTGTGAGTGGGTTAGGGTTAGGGTCTAGATAAAGTTGTGAGTGGGTTAGGGTCTAGATAATGTTGTGAGTGGGTTAGGGTTAGGGTCTAGATAAAGTTGTGAGTGGGTTAGGGTCTAGATAAAGTTGTGAGTGGGTTAGGGTTAGGGTCTAGATAAAGTTGTGAGTGGGTTAGGGTTAGGGTCTAGATAAAGTTGTGAGTGGGTTAGGGTTAGGATCTAGATAAAGTTGTGAGTGGGTTAGGGTCTAGATAAAGTTGTGAGTGGGTTAGGGTCTAGATAAAGTTGTGAGTGGGTTAGGGTCTAGATAAAGTTGTGAGTGGGTTAGGGTTAGGGTCTAGATAAAGTTGTGAGTGGGTTAGGGTCTAGATAAAGTTGTGGGTGGGTTAGGGTTAGGGTCTAGATAAAGTTGTGAGTGGGTTAGGGTTAGGGCATAGATAAAGTTGTGAGTGGGTTAGGGTTAGGGTCTAGATAAAGTTGTGAGTGGGTTAGGGTTAGGGTCTAGATAAAGTAGTGAGTGGGTTAGGGTTAGGGCATAGATAAAGTTGTGAGTGGGTTAGGGTTAGGGTCTAGATAAAGTTGTGAGTGGGTTAGGGTTAGGGTCTAGATAAAGTTGTGAGTGGGTTAGGGTCTAGATAAAGTTGTGAGTGGGTTAGGGTCTAGATATAGTTGTGATTGGGTTAGGGTTAGGGTCTAGATAAAGTTGTGAGTGGGTTAGGGTCTAGATATAGTTGTGAGTGGGTTAGGGTTAGGGTCTAGATAAAGTTGTGAGTGGGTTAGGGTTAGGGCATAGATAAAGTTGTGAGTGGGTTAGGGTTGGGGTCTAGATAAAGTTGTGAGTGGGTTAGGGTTAGGGCATAGATAAAGTTGTGAGTGGGTTAGGGTTAGGGTCTAGATAAAGTTGTGAGTGGGTTAGGGTTAGGGTCTAGTTAAAGTAGTGAGTGGGTTAGGGTTAGGGTCTAGATAAAGTTGTGAGTGGGTTAGGGTTAGGGCATAGATAAAGTTGTGAGTGGGTTAGGGTTAGGGTCTAGATAAAGTTGTGAGTGGGTTAGGGTTAGGGTCTAGATAAAGTTGTGAGTGGGTTAGGGTTAGGGTCTAGATAAAGTTGTGAGTGGATTAGGGTCTAGATATAGTTGTGAGTGGGTTAGGGTTAGGGTCTAGATAAAGTTGTGAGTGGATTAGGGTCTAGATAAAGTTGTGAGTGGGTTAGGGTTAGGGTCTAGATAAAGTTGTGAGTGGGTTAGGGTCTAGATAAAGTTGTGAGTGGGTTAGGGTTAGGGTCTAGATAAAGTTGTGAGTGGATTAGGGTCTAGATATAGTTGTGAGTGGGTTAGGGTTAGGGTCTAGATAAAGTTGTGAGTGGGTTAGGGTCTAGATATAGTTGTGAGTGGGTTAGGGTAAGGGTCTAGATAAAGTTGTGAGTGGATTAGGGTCTAGATATAGTTGTGAGTGGGTTAGGATTAGGGTCTAGATAAAGTTGTGAGTGGATTAGGGTCTAGATAAAGTTGTGAGTGGGTTAGGGTCTAGATAAAGTTGTGAGTGGGTTAGGGTTAGGGTCTAGATAAAATTGTGAGTGGGTTAGGGTTAGGGTCTAGATAAAGTTGTGAGTGGGTTAGGGTAAGGGTCTAGATAAAGTTGTGAGTGGGTTAGGGTCTAGATAAAGTTGTGAGTGGGTTAGGGTTAGGGTCTAGATAAAGTTGTGAGTGGGTTAGGGTCTAGATAAAGTTGTGAGTGGGTTAGGGTCTAGATAAAGTTGTGAGTGGATTAGGGTCTAGATAAAGTTGTGAGTGGGTTAGGGTCTAGATAAAGTTGTGAGTGGGTTAGGGTCTAGATAAAGTTGTGCGTGGGTTAGGGTTAGGGTCTAGATAAAGTTGTGAGTGGGTTAGGGTCTAGATAAAGTTGTGAGTGGGTTAGGATCTAGATAAAGTTGTGAGTGGGTTAGGGTTAGGGCATAGATAAAGTTGTGAGTGGGTTAGGGTTAGGGTCTAGATAAAATTGTGAGTGGGTTAGGGTCTAGATAAAGTTGTGAGTGGGTTAGGGTCTAGATAAAGTTGTGAGTGGGTTAGGGTTAGGATCTAGATAACGTTGTGAGTGGGTTAGGGTTAGGGTCTAGATAAAGTTGTGAGTGGGTTAGGGTCTAGATAACGTTGTGAGTGGGTTAGGGTTAGGGTCTAGATAAAGTTGTGAGTGGGTTAGGGTCTAGATAACGTTGTGAGTGGGTTACGGTTAGGGTCTAGATAAAGTTGTGAGTGGGTTAGGGTCTAGATAACGTTGTGAGTGGGTTAGGGTTAGGGTCTAGATAAAGTTGTGAGTGGGTTAGGGTCTAGATAAAGTTGTGAGTGGATTAGGGTTAGGGTCTAGATAAAGTTGTGAGTGGGTTAGGGTTAGGGTCTAGATAAAGTTGTGAGTGGGTTAGGGTTAGGGTCTAGATAAAGTTGTGAGTGGGTTAGGGTTAGGGTCTAGATAAAGTTGTGAGTGGGTTAGGGTTAGGGCCTAGATAAAGTTGTGAGTGGGTTAGGGTCTAGATAAAGTTGTGAGTGGGTTAGGGTTAGGGTCTAGATAAAGTTGTGAGTGGGTTAGGGTCTAGATAAAGTTGTGGGTGGGTTAGGGTTAGGGTCTAGATAAAGTTGTGAGTGGGTTAGGGTTAGGGTCTAGATAAAGTTGTGAGTGGGTTAGGGTCTAGATAAAGTTGTGGGTGGGTTAGGGTTAGGGCATAGATAAAGTTGTGAGTGGGTTAGGGTTAGGGTCTAGATAAAGTTGTGAGTGGGTTAGGGTTAGGGTCTAGATAAAGTTGTGAGTGGGTTAGGGTCTAGATAATGTTGTGAGTGGGTTAGGGTTAGGGTCTAGATATAGTTGTGAGTGGGTTAGGGTCTAGATAAAGTTGTGAGTGGGTTAGGGTTAGTGTCTAGATAAAGTTGTGAGTGGGTTAGGGTTAGGGTCTAGATAAAGTTGTGAGTGGGTTAGGGTCTAGATAAAGTTGTGAAAGGGTTAGGGTTAGGGTCTAGATAAAGTTGTGAGTGGGTTAGGGTTAGGGTCTAGATAAAGTTGTGAGTGGGTTAGGGTTAGGGCATAGATAAAGTTGTGAGTGGGTTAGGGTTAGGGTCTAGATAAAGTTGTGAGTGGGATAGGGTCTAGATAAAGTTGTGAGTGGGTTAGGGTCTAGATAAAGTTGTGAGTGGGTTAGGGTTAGGGTCTAGATAAAGTTGTGAGTGGGTTAGGGTCTAGATAAAGTTGTGAGTGGGTTAGGGTCTAGATAAAGTTGTGAGTGGGTTAGGGTTAGGGTCTAGATAAAGTTGTGAGTGGGTTAGGGTCTAGATAATGTTGTGAGTGGGTTAGGGTTAGGGTCTAGATATAGTTGTGAGTGGGTTAGGGTCTAGATAAAGTTGTGAGTGGGTTAGGGTTAGGGCATAGATAAAGTTGTGAGTGGGTTAGGGTCTAGATAAAGTTGTGAGTGGGTTAGGGTTAGGGTCTAGATAAAGTTGTGAGTGGGTTAGGGTTAGGGTCTAGATAAAGTTGTGAGTGGGTTAGGGTTAGGGTCTAGATAAAGTTGTGAGTGGGTTAGGGTCTAGATAAAGTTGTGAGTGGGTTAGGGTTAGGGTCTAGATAAAGTTGTGAGTGGGTTAGGGTCTAGATAATGTTGTGAGTGGGTTAGGGTTAGGGTCTAGATAAAGTTGTGAGTGGGTTAGGGTCTAGATAAAGTTGTGAGTGGGTTAGGGTCTAGATAATGTTGTGAGTGGGTTAGGGTTAGGGTCTAGATAAAGTTGTGAGTGGGTTAGGGTCTAGATAAAGTTGTGAGTGGGTTAGGGTTAGGGTCTAGATAAAGTTGTGAGTGGGTTAGGGTCTAGATAATGTTGTGAGTGGGTTAGGGTTAGGGTCTAGATAAAGTTGTGAGTGGGTTAGGGTTAGGATCTAGATAAAGTTGTGAGTGGGTTAGGGTCTAGATAAAGTTGTGAGTGGGTTAGGGTTAGGGTCTAGATAAAGTTGTGAGTGGGTTAGGGTCTAGATAAAGTTGTGAGTGGGTTAGGGTTAGGGTCTAGATAAAGTTGTGAGTGGGTTAGGGTCTAGATAAAGTTGTGAGTGGGTTAGGGTCTAGATAAAGTTGTGAGTGGGTTAGGGTCTAGATAAAGTTGTGAGTGGGTTAGGGTCTAGATAAAGTTGTGAGTGGGTTAGGGTCTAGATAATGTTGTGAGTGGGTTAGGGTTAGGGTCTAGATAAAGTTGTGAGTGGGTTAGGGTCTAGATAAAGTTGTGAGTGGGTTAGGGTTAGGGTCTAGATAAAGTTGTGAGTGGGTTAGGGTCTAGATAATGTTGTGAGTGGGTTAGGGTTAGGGTCTAGATAAAGTTGTGAGTGGGTTAGGGTCTAGATAAAGTTGTGAGTGGGTTAGGGTTAGGGTCTAGATAAAGTTGTGAGTGGGTTAGGGTTAGGGTCTAGATAAAGTTGTGAGTGGGTTAGGGTTAGGATCTAGATAAAGTTGTGAGTGGGTTAGGGTCTAGATAAAGTTGTGAGTGGGTTAGGGTCTAGATAAAGTTGTGAGTGGGTTAGGGTCTAGATAAAGTTGTGAGTGGGTTAGGGTTAGGGTCTAGATAAAGTTGTGAGTGGGTTAGGGTCTAGATAAAGTTGTGGGTGGGTTAGGGTTAGGGTCTAGATAAAGTTGTGAGTGGGTTAGGGTTAGGGCATAGATAAAGTTGTGAGTGGGTTAGGGTTAGGGTCTAGATAAAGTTGTGAGTGGGTTAGGGTTAGGGTCTAGATAAAGTAGTGAGTGGGTTAGGGTTAGGGCATAGATAAAGTTGTGAGTGGGTTAGGGTTAGGGTCTAGATAAAGTTGTGAGTGGGTTAGGGTTAGGGTCTAGATAAAGTTGTGAGTGGGTTAGGGTCTAGATAAAGTTGTGAGTGGGTTAGGGTCTAGATATAGTTGTGATTGGGTTAGGGTTAGGGTCTAGATAAAGTTGTGAGTGGGTTAGGGTCTAGATATAGTTGTGAGTGGGTTAGGGTTAGGGTCTAGATAAAGTTGTGAGTGGGTTAGGGTTAGGGCATAGATAAAGTTGTGAGTGGGTTAGGGTTGGGGTCTAGATAAAGTTGTGAGTGGGTTAGGGTTAGGGCATAGATAAAGTTGTGAGTGGGTTAGGGTTAGGGTCTAGATAAAGTTGTGAGTGGGTTAGGGTTAGGGTCTAGTTAAAGTAGTGAGTGGGTTAGGGTTAGGGTCTAGATAAAGTTGTGAGTGGGTTAGGGTTAGGGCATAGATAAAGTTGTGAGTGGGTTAGGGTTAGGGTCTAGATAAAGTTGTGAGTGGGTTAGGGTTAGGGTCTAGATAAAGTTGTGAGTGGGTTAGGGTTAGGGTCTAGATAAAGTTGTGAGTGGATTAGGGTCTAGATATAGTTGTGAGTGGGTTAGGGTTAGGGTCTAGATAAAGTTGTGAGTGGATTAGGGTCTAGATAAAGTTGTGAGTGGGTTAGGGTTAGGGTCTAGATAAAGTTGTGAGTGGGTTAGGGTCTAGATAAAGTTGTGAGTGGGTTAGGGTTAGGGTCTAGATAAAGTTGTGAGTGGATTAGGGTCTAGATATAGTTGTGAGTGGGTTAGGGTTAGGGTCTAGATAAAGTTGTGAGTGGGTTAGGGTCTAGATATAGTTGTGAGTGGGTTAGGGTAAGGGTCTAGATAAAGTTGTGAGTGGATTAGGGTCTAGATATAGTTGTGAGTGGGTTAGGATTAGGGTCTAGATAAAGTTGTGAGTGGATTAGGGTCTAGATAAAGTTGTGAGTGGGTTAGGGTCTAGATAAAGTTGTGAGTGGGTTAGGGTTAGGGTCTAGATAAAATTGTGAGTGGGTTAGGGTTAGGGTCTAGATAAAGTTGTGAGTGGGTTAGGGTAAGGGTCTAGATAAAGTTGTGAGTGGGTTAGGGTCTAGATAAAGTTGTGAGTGGGTTAGGGTTAGGGTCTAGATAAAGTAGTGAGTGGGTTAGGGTCTAGATAAAGTTGTGAGTGGGTTAGGGTCTAGATAAAGTTGTGAGTGGATTAGGGTCTAGATAAAGTTGTGAGTGGGTTAGGGTCTAGATAAAGTTGTGAGTGGGTTAGGGTCTAGATAAAGTTGTGAGTGGGTTAGGGTTAGGGTCTAGATAAAGTTGTGAGTGGGTTAGGGTCTAGATAAAGTTGTGAGTGGGTTAGGGTCTAGATAAAGTTGTGAGTGGGTTAGGGTTAGGATCTAGATAAAGTTGTGAGTGGGTTAGGGTTAGGGTCTAGATAAAGTTGTGAGTGGGTTAGGGTCTAGATAACGTTGTGAGTGGGTTAGGGTTAGGGTCTAGATAAAGTTGTGAGTGGGTTAGGGTCTAGATAACGTTGTGAGTGGGTTACGGTTAGGGTCTAGATAAAGTTGTGAGTGGGTTAGGGTCTAGATAACGTTGTGAGTGGGTTAGGGTTAGGGTCTAGATAAAGTTGTGAGTGGGTTAGGGTCTAGATAAAGTTGTGAGTGGATTAGGGTTAGGGTCTAGATAAAGTTGTGAGTGGGTTAGGGTTAGGGTCTAGATAAAGTTGTGAGTGGGTTAGGGTTAGGGTCTAGATAAAGTTGTGAGTGGGTTAGGGTTAGGGTCTAGATAAAGTTGTGAGTGGGTTAGGGTTAGGGCCTAGATAAAGTTGTGAGTGGGTTAGGGTCTAGATAAAGTTGTGAGTGGGTTAGGGTTAGGGTCTAGATAAAGTTGTGAGTGGGTTAGGGTCTAGATAAAGTTGTGGGTGGGTTAGGGTTAGGGTCTAGATAAAGTTGTGAGTGGGTTAGGGTTAGGGTCTAGATAAAGTTGTGAGTGGGTTAGGGTCTAGATAAAGTTGTGGGTGGGTTAGGGTTAGGGTCTAGATAAAGTTGTGAGTGGGTTAGGGTTAGGGTCTAGATAAAGTAGTGAGTGGGTTAGGGTTAGGGTCTAGATAAAGTTGTGAGTGGGTTAGGGTCTAGATAAAGTTGTGAGTGGGTTAGGGTTAGGGCCTAGATAAAGTTGTGAGTGGGTTAGGGTCTAGAAAAAGTTGTGAGTGGGTTAGGGTTGGGGTCTAGATAAAGTAGTGAGTGGGTTAGGGTTAGGGTCTAGATAAAGTTGTGAGTGGGTTAGGGTTAGGGTCTAGAAAAAGTTGTGAGTGGGTTAGGGTTAGGGTCTAGATAAAGTTGTGAGTGGGTTAGGGTCTAGATAAAGTTGTGAGTGGGTTAGGGTTAGGGCCTAGATAAAGTTGTGAGTGGGTTAGGGTCTAGAAAAAGTTGTGAGTGGGTTAGGGTTGGGGTCTAGATAAAGTAGTGAGTGGGTTAGGGTTAGGGTCTAGATAAAGTTGTGAGTGGGTTAGGGTTAGGGTCTAGAAAAAGTTGTGAGTGGGTTAGGGTTAGGGTCTAGATAAAGTAGTGAGTGGGTTAGGGTCTAGAAAAAGTTGTGAGTGGGTTAGGGTTGGGGTCTAGATAAAGTAGTGAGTGGGTTAGGGTCTAGATAAAGTTGTGAGTGGGTTAGGGTTAGGGTCTAGATAAAGTTGTGAGTGGGTTAGGGTTAGGGTCTAGATAAAGTTGTGAGTGGGTTAGGGTTAGGGTCTAGAAAAAGTTGTGAGTGGGTTAGGGTTAGGGTCTAGATAAAGTAGTGAGTGAGAGCTGACGTGCATGTTTGATCCCCCAGGCCTACAGCTGTGCCACAACCAGAGCTCGACTAGAGAGATACAAGCACACGAGAACGGCTCGATACACCTAGAGTTTTGTGTCTTTTATGTTGGAGATGTCCTACCTACTTTTCCCATCTACCTGGGTGGAGTAGAGTTGAACAGTTCCAGTCACGTGACCTACAAAACAACATGGCGGCCACTGAACACAACCCATCACAACGTCATGGTCAGTATCTCAAACTTAACGCGGGAAACTGGAGAAACGTTGGAAGTTTGGCTGAGTCCTAGCAATGTTGCCATGTTCACTGTTGGCACCATCACTCCAGGTATGTGTTCTCTCATTGCTGACGTCTCTTCGTGAAGGTTATCAGATGATTTTAATTTTAATTCTTGTATTTTATTTCACATTTTACAGAGGCTGATTACAAGTTGAACAGTTCGGCCTCAATTTTGGAGAACTCCACAGCTGTCTCATTATGTGACGTCATATCACTGGCTGCAGCGGTGGTAGTTTGGTGGTTGTGTGTGATGGTGTAGTATGAAATGTTTTGTGGTTGTGTGTGATGTTTGGTGGTTGTGTGTGATATTTTGTGGTTGTGTGTGATGGTGTGGTATGAAATGTTTGGTGGTTGTGTGTGATGGTGTAGTATGAAATGTTTGGTGGTTGTGTGTGATGTTTGGTAGTTGTGTGTGATGTTTTGTGGTTGTGTGTGATGGTGTGGTATGAAATGTTTGGTGGTTGTGTGTGATGGTGTAGTATGAAATGTTTGGTGGTTGTGTGTGATGTTTGGTGGTTGTGTGTGATGGTGTAGTATGAAATGTTTGGTGGTTGTGTGTGATGTTTGGTGGTTGTGTGTGATGGTGTAGTATGAAATGTTTGGTGGTTGTGTGTGATGTAAAAAAGTAAGTTTTCCTTTCAAACCTGACGGTCTATGGGGCAAGTGAAGTAGAGTTCACTTGTTTCTGTGACCTCAGCATATGAAGAGATAGTGTGGTCAGCACTATGCCCAGCCGCCTTTCCTCGAGAATTACGGGTTAGCAGTCCAGCTCTCTACCGCTAGACCACTCCGTCCCATTTGTGTGTGATGGTGTAGCATGAAATGTTTGGTGGTTGTGTGAGATGGTGTAGTATGACATCGTTGAAGGTGGAGTAAGACAAACCTCTGGTGTGTGATAATTAACCTTTTGACAATTACAATTGTTGTCTGTATGCATAATCTGTTAAACAAATTGTATTTACAATCTATAAAATGTTTGTGCCAAATAAGCTATTATATAATATATATATATATATAATATATATATATATATAAATATATATATATATATTGCAAAATAATTTCAGATTTAGGTATATGTATATATCTTTTTTAAATGTACCACCTTGGGAACAGAACTGAACAAAACAAAAAACAACACAAACACAACACAACACAACACAAACACAACACAAACACAACACAAACACAACACAAACACAACACAAACACAAATAAAAACACAACACAACACAAACACAACACAAACACAACACAAACACAAATAAAAACACAACACAACACAAACACAACACAAACACAACACAAACACAAACACAACACAATCACAAAAGAAAACACAAACACAACAAAAACACAAATGAAACACAAACACAATGCAAAGACAAACGAAAACACAAACGCAACACAACACAACACAAACACAACACAAACACAACACAAACACAACACAAACACAACACAAACACAACACAAACACAACACAAACACAAAAGAAAAAAAACATAACACAAACACAAATAAAAACACAACACAACACAAACACAAAACGAACACAACACAAACAAAACACAATCACAAAAGAAAACACAAACACAACAAAAACACAAATAAAACACAAACACAATGCAAAGACAAACGAAAACACAAACGCAACACACAAACATAAAAGACAACACTCATAACCAATACACAACCTCACAAAAAGAAAGTAACTAGTTAGGTTTATTTGATTATTTGTTTATTTGTGGTTTGTGGTTCAAATTACCACACTGAATGTCTTTGTTACTAATTCAGCACCTGAATAATGGTACGTCTTTACCTCGAGGTAAAGGAGGATGTTCTAGACTCTAGACTCTACTCTAGACTCTAGAGTCTAGACTCTAGACTCTAGACTCTAGACTAGAGCGTGTAGAATTAGCAGAGGATATTTCCTGATAGAACGTCACACATGACCAGACGTGTATGGGCAAGAAAATGTTGGCATTGAACATCACACAATCATTGAACATCACACAATCATTGAACATCACGCAATCATTGAACATAACACAATCATTGAACATCACACAATGATTGAACAACACACAATAATTGAACACCACACAACATTACATAAAAATTCTCAACTTTATACCGTCGACGTCACAGAGATCTGACCCAATTAGATTACAATGTAAACATTCTATAAAGTAGTTTTAATGTAAACATTCTATAAAGTAGTTTTAATGTAAATATTCTATAAAGTAGTTTCAATGTAAACATTCTATAAAGTAGTTTCAATGTAAACATTCTTTAAAGTAGTTTAAATGTAAACATGCTATAAAGTAGTTTAAATGTAAACATTCTATTAAGTAGTGACTTGGACGACAAGAAGGGGAGGTAACAGAGTATAATTTTCCCGACAATCTATTGTTTTAGTTATGTCCCTTGATTATCGCATTCAGTAATTACATAATATATGATTTGTGTCTTAATATCTGTATCCATACATAGCCTTACGTTATGTTTAATTCTTACATTTAATAATTTATTTACCGATTTCATTATATATATATGCGTGTGTGTGTGTGTGTGTGGCTCACTGAAAAATTAGTGTACCTAAACTTTGTAACCATTTTTTTATGGAACTCACATACAAAGAATAATAATTTCGAATCCATTTTTTCTAAATCTACCATTCTTATAATGCATTTTTAAAATCACAATAAATAATTTTCTAAGCTGGTGATTATTAAACGAGAATTTTTTTTCCAACTCGCTAACTTGGTTTTCAAAATTCCTTCGCTAACTGTTCAGGCAATATTTTAGCTATTCGCGTTGTAATATAGACACTTAGATCTCAAATACGCTGAGGGTTGTTGATTTATAAAGAGTGGACATGAAAAGCTCAGCACAAATCCTGGATTTAAAAAATCCCCAAATGTTCACTCGTGGACTGTTGATACAAGTTCTATGGGACTCTATTTAATTCTTTGATCATGTAATATGGGACTCTATTTAATTCTTTGATCATGTAATATGGGACCCGGATTACTATTTAAAGATCAGAAAAAACAAGTCGTGGATGTAGTTTGATAGTTGGCATATCTCGGAAGAAAATCAGTCTACCACAGAACAACTCGAGAAATATGTTTTTTTCTATAGAACAGTTCTATTAACTATAGAATAATCACCGTTGTAGTATTTGCTTTTTAATTAACTGCTATCAAGGAGCACACGACAATTACTTTGGAATAAAAAAAATACCGCTGTTTATTTATCGTCGGAATTTGGATCCCCAAAACAGCCAGTGTTGTGATGTGATGTGCATGAAATGTGAGAATGTAGGACGAATCACTGCAGGGGTGATGTGTACACGGGTGTGTTGACGTGTATGTTGTATGTGTACACGGTAGTATTGCGTTAGGCCGGGTGTGTTGACGTGTATGTTGTTGTATGAAGTGAACAAGGGTAGCGACTGGTCGACTGACAGCGGGTGTGTTGTGGGCGGGAGATAGGTGGTGTGTAGGGATGGATGGGGATGGCAGTTGGAGGTGACAGTAGGAAGTGAGAGATAGCTTGGTTGTGTCTAGGAGCAGATAAACAGATACAACAGAATGTAGCCCCAGCTGATGTATGTCGGCGTGTCCTTATACCTGTGTCTTATGGGGCTCCACACTCGCACATTTGGTGGAGGTGCGGGGTACAAACTACCAGCCGAGTAAGATAAGTACAAGTAAGATAAGTACAAGTAAGATAAGTACAAGTAAGATAAGTACAAGTAAGATAAGTACAAGTGAGATAAGTACAAGTGAGATAAGTACAAGTTAGATAGGTACACGTTAGATAAGTACAAGTAAGATAAGTACAAGTAAGATAAGTACACGTTAGATAAGTGATACTTTGATTTTCTGTTTGATCGAACTAGACTCGGGAAAGTTGGGAAAAGTTATATAGTCTCGGCAGTTTCAGGTCACAGTTAGAAGTAAGATGTAGCAGTTTAAAGTCACAGTTGCAAGTAAGATGTAACAGATTGAGGTCCTATTTGAAGTGAGATGTAACTTGTGATGTGCCTAGGGCCAGATATATAGACATTAAACGGACGAGTTGTACCTAACCGCAACAATTTAATATGTATAAGTAGTGAATACCTTAGATTTTATTCATTATTTTCATAACAGTCAATTCTGTTCTCAATTGTTATGTGTTATCAGTTTAGATTGCAAATCACTTAATAGAATTGTTATCACATTGGTGTCTATTACATGATACTTTTCTCACATTGGTGTCTATTACATGATATTTTTCTCACATTGGTGTCTAGTACACACAAGCCTGTTCGTCCTTTAACAACAGCCAAAAATCTTCTGTCAATGTGTGTAGAAATCTTCTGTCAATGTGTGTAGAAATCTTCTGTCAATGTGTGTAGAAATCTTCTTTCAATGTGTGTAGAAATCTTCTGTCAATGTTTACTAAAGACGCCTGTCCGTATGCGCCAATCCAATTCACATCACGTGAGACTATCTTGCCTTTAGCTAGTAAAAGATTATCTTGCCTTTAGCTAGTAAAGTCCTCGGATGTTTTTATCCTTCCTGCTTGTGCTATAACCGTTGTGCATATCAACACACCCTCTCCACCCCTCATCTCCTACACATCCTACAGATAACTGCTTTCATTTGTGGGATTTGTTCTCTACTATAACTTTACAGATAACTGCTTTCATTGGGGGGGGGGGGTATATGATCTCTACTATAACTTTACAGATAACTGCTTTCATTGGGGGGGGGGGGTATATGATCTCTACTATAACTTTACAGATAACTGCTTTCATTGGGGGGGGGTATATGATCTCTACTATAACTTTACAGATAACTGCTTTCATTGGTGGGATATAATCTCTAGTATAACTTTACAGATAACTGCTTTCATTGGTGGGATATAATCTCTAGTATAACTTTACAGATAACTGCTTTCATTGTGGCCTAGTTTATCATATGCTTAAAAGTACAGAATTATTCGCTCTGACTTAAGCTAACATATTCTCTAAAGTACAGAATCATTCGGTCTGACTTAAGCTAACACATTCTCTAGAGTACAGGATTATTCGGTCTGACTTAAGCTAACATCTATATCTATATATATAATTCTCTTCTGGGATCAGTTAGAAAACAAGCTGCAAGCGCTCCTTTGCAGTCCCCTCTCTTCCTCTCTATCACTATCACTACCACCCCCACCCCACCCCCACATGATCTGGTGAGCTGTGGTCACGCTGTTTACATTTTACAATCATAGAGACGGGTTTGGTGACGGCTATTAGGGGCAGATAATTGAGTTTGAAACGATTTTAAACTTAGAGGAGGTAAGTAAGAGGAGGCTGCTTTCACGTGGGGGGGGGGGAGGGTTTTTTAGTGTTTTTAAGCAAATATTTTCAGTGGCAGCATTGGTACTGTCGAATTCACAAATTATAAATTACTGAAAAGTAGAAAAAAAAACAACTAAATAGCGGCGTATGATACGCAGCGGGTCGGCTCGTATTCTCTAAAGTACAGAATCATTCGCTCTGATTTAAGCTGTGTTTGGCAGTCGACCAATAGGTTCTGCTTCATGGAACTTCTATAAATAGTCTCGTGTATAGGGATATTTTCAGTTAAATGGTGTCATTTCATCTACCGTTGACGGCAATAAGCACTCCCAGTCCTATAAATTTTATGGGGTTATTTATAACTCTGCTAATTACATTAGACAGTTATAAAGTTTATGGGGTTATTTATAACTCTGCTGATTACATTAGACAGTTATAAAGTTTATGGGGTTATTTATAACTTCTGATTATATCGCCTACAGTTTGTGTGCAACACATTTAGGCCGCGCCACCTAAAGAAATTCTACCAACCTACTGAAACGGAATTAATATGCCCGCACTTGGGGCAATGTGCCGGGGCATTATTTCCAGTTATTGAATAACTCCAGCACAGAACCCCCAGTCCAAAATTTGGATTAAAATCAACTTTAGCTTTCGACGTAGGTGACCTTTAGGTGACCTTTTCTTTTCATACGGCTGAGCGGGGCAGACAACTGTATAGACAGTCGAGCACACGGTGTAACCCAAGTCCATATGTGCAGCAAGGATCAATGCTTCTGTTGCATCAATCACGCAGCTTTTATTATGTGATGTCATGGGCGAACGGTTAATTAAACAGGTGGCAAACAGAGCATTGAATAGAGCCTTAACGTGGGCACATGTAATTTATGATGTCATACATCATAGCTTGTCTACCTTAATGTGAACTTGTGCATGAACATTTGCAGTGAGATGTTCAATGAGATCTTTGTGATAGCTAGGGGGGGGGGTCATGCGACATCTTTAGCTAGGGTGCTAGGCGACATCTTTAGCTAGGATGCTAGGCGACATCTTTAGCTAGAGTGCTAGGCGACATCTTTAGCTAGAGTGCTACGGTTACACAATCAACAGGATTAACCACTAAGGTCAGACAATCATAGGACAAAAGTTCTACCATTGATTGGTGAAATTGGACGAAGCTAAGTGTAGCAATGATTGGTGTAGCAAGGATTGGTGTAGGTGGATTGGTGTAGCGAGGATTGGTGTAGCAATGATTGGTGTATCAAACTAAATATAATGCCCCTGCAAAAATGTTGGGTTGACTACAGATAATTACACTGCCATTGACTGTAAGCTAAAGCGTACAGTCCCACTTCAGGTTAGGATATGAAAAGAACGTATTGAATATTAAAATGAAAAGACCTCGGCCTAGGACGTCGGCTGGTGAAACTGTTTTCGGTCTAGCAATGGGATTGAATTTATAAACAAGATTGTTTACTGCTTGCTTGAACCACAGCTATGGGTAAAGGTCATATCCCGCTAATCATGTCGAGCTTTAGATCCCACATACACGCCGGGTTAATTCACTGAAGATAAACTACAATTCTTAATAAAGGTAAATATTCTTTTAAAACTTTCAAAACGGTAAGAATATTTAAAAAAAAAAACGCTTTTAATTATGTGTGCACTGTGTTAAAATATGTTGGCCTTAGTGAGATACAAATGTTAGAAATGGCAACTGTGTGTGTGTGTGTGTGTGTGTATGTGTGTGTGTGTGTGTGTCAGCACTTTGTTCAAATTGGTGGTATTTAAATATGGGATTACGGTAGCCATATGTCACACAGCGGATCACACGATTATGTGCAGAATGTTAAGTTTTACATTACCAAAAAACGTGTTGTATTTTAACAGTTTTACAGTAGTAAAAATGTGCAACTATTCAACAGTTTTACAATCGACAAAAAAATTATAAATTCTTGGCACTAAGACTAAAGAACATTTCACCAGCCAAGGTGAAGTTCGTCGAATTTTAACTGGATCTGAATGTTATAACCTTGACCTTTCGACCGTTTGGATTCCATCCAGATATTTTGTGAGTAATTGACACGGGATGATCAAATAGTTTTTCATTTTGTTTTTAAGATTTACATATGTCATCGAGTTCTAAGAATCAACCTGTCTCTCATTCTCATATAAAAAATTGTCCTCAGTACAGATTTTAGGCTGGGATTTATCAACGCTATATGTCTAGTATCTACCCTTCATTTATCTGTGTTTTAAGATGTTTTATATAAGCATCATATGGGAACACCAAATTACCGGTCGACTGACCGATCGACTGCCCGATTGACTGACCGATCGACTGACCGATCGACTGACCGATTGACTGACCGATTGACTGACCGATCAACTGACCGCTATATCTAGTCTCTCCTTTAATATTAAACATTTCGTTTGAAAACTCAGTAATAATTATTGATGTCTCGTTTCATATTTTATGAATCGTAAACAGATGTCTCTATGTATACACTAGTCTAACGCTAAACGCACCGTTAACAAATAATCCAGAGCTTTCAAGCTTTGTTTCATTTGTTCTGTCCTGTGCTCCCCGTGGTGTCACCATATGTCACCAGATGTCACCATATGTCACCATCATTCAGTGAGCTCTATATTTCAGAATGATATGCGGGATAAGGCTGGGGTTTAGGATGACACATTTCGGTTGGAATATATCACTTGCGTGTGTTAAACGGTTTCACTCATGTGTAGTGGTCAACTGATGTGTTAGTGGTCAACTGTGTTTGTGTTAATGGTGAACTGATGTGTTAGTGGTCAACTGATGTGTTAATGGTCAACTGATATGTTAGTGGTCAACTGATGTGTTAGTGGTCAACTGATGTGTTAGTGGTCAACTGATGTGTTAGTGGTCAACTGATGTGTTAGTGGTCGACTGATGTGTAAGTGGTCAACTGATGTGTTAGTGGTCAACTGATGTGTTAGTGGTCAACTGATGTGTTAGTGGTCAACTGATGTGTTAGTGGTCAACTGTTTTGTGTTAATGGTCAACTGATGTGTTAGTGATAAACTGATGTGTTAGTGGTCAACTGTGTTTGTGTTAATGGTCAACTGATGTGTTAAAGATCAGCTGTGTTTGTGTTAGTGGTCAACTAATGTGTTAGTGGTCAACTGATGTGTAAGTGGTCAACTGATGTGTAAGTGGTCAACTGATGTGTAAGTGGTCAACTGATGTGTTAGTGGTCAACTGATGTGTTAGTGGTCAACTGATGTGTTAGTGGTCAACTAATGTGTGTGTAAGTGGTCAACTGATGGGTTAGTGGTCAACTGATGTGTTAGTGGTCAACTGATGCGTTAGTGGTCAACTGATGTGTAAGATGTCATGTGATGTGTTAGTGGTCAACTGATGTGTTAGTTGTCAAATGATGTGTTAGTGGTCAACTAATGGGTTAGTGGTCAACTAATGTGTTAGTGGTCAACTGATGTGTTAGTGGTCAACTGATGTGCTAGTGGGCAACTGATGTGATAGTGGTCAACTGATGTGCTAGTGGTCAAAAGATGTGTTATTGGTCAACTGTGTTTGTGTTAATGTTCAACTGATGTGTTAGTGGTCAACTGATGTGTTAGTGGTCAAATGTGTTTGTGTTAGTGGTCAACTGATGTGCTAGTGGTCAACTGATGTGTTAGTGGTCAACTGATGTGCTAGTGGGCAACTGATGTGTTAGTGATCCACTGTGTTTGTGTTAGTGGTCAACTAATGTGTTAGTGGTCAACTGGTGTGTTAGTGGTCAACTGATGTGCTAGTGGGCAACTGATGTGTTAGTGATCAACTGTGTTTGTGTTAGTGGTCAACTGATGTGCTAGTGGTCAACTGATGTGTTAGTGGTCAACTGATGTGCTAGTGGGCAACTGATGTGTTAGTGATCAACTGTGTTTGTGTTAATGTTCAACTGATGTGTTAGTCATCAACTGATGTGTTAGTGGTCAACTGATGTGTTAGTGGTCAACTAATGTGTTAGTGGTCAACTGATGTGTTAGTGGTCAACTGATGTGCTAGTGGGCAACTGATGTGTTAGTGGTAGACTGATGTGTTAGTGGTCAACTGATGTGTTAGTGGTCAACTGATGTGCTAGTGGTCAACTGATGTGTTAGTGGTCAACTGTGTTTGTGTTAGAGGTCAACTGATGTGTTAGTGGTCAACTGATGTGTTAGTGGTCAACTGATGTTTTAGTGGTCAACTGATGTGTTAGTGGTCAATTGATGTGTTAGTGGTCAACTGATGTGTTAGTGGTCAACTGATGTGTTAGTGGTCAACTAATGTGTTAGTGGTCAACTGATGTGTTAGTGGTCAACTGATGTGTTAGTGGTCAACTGATGTTTTAGTGGTCAACTGATGTGTTAGTGGTCAATTGATGTGTTAGTGGTCAACTGATGTGTTAGTGGTCAACTGATGTGTTAGTGGTCAACTGATGTGTTAGTGGTCAACTGATGTGTTAGTGGTCAACTGATGTGTTAGTGGTCAACTGTTTTTGTGTTAGTGGTCAACTGATGTGTTAGTGGTCAATTGATGTGTTAGTGGTCAACTGATGTGTTAGTGGTCAACTGATGTGTTAGTGGTCAACTAATGTGTTAGTGGTCAACTAATGTGTTAGTGGTCAACTGATGTGTTAGTGGTCAACTGATGTGCTAGTGGTCAACTGATGTGTTAGTGGTCAACTAATGTGTTAGTGGTCAACTGATGTGTTAGTTGTCAACTGATGTGTTATTGGTCAACTGTGTTTGTGTTAGTGGTCAACTGATGTGTTAGTGGTCAACTGATGTATTAGTGGTCAACTGTGTTTGTGTTAGTGGTCAACTGATGTGTTAGTGGTCAACTAATGTGTTAGTGGTCAACCGATGTGTTATTGGTCAACTAATGTGTTAGTGGTCAACTGATGTGTTAGTGGTCAACTAATGTGTTATTGGTCAAGTGATGTGTTAGTGTTCAACTGATGCGCAAGATGTCATGTGATGTATCCCTACAGTTTTGCAAACATTCTGTAACAGAGGGTAGGATGTGGAGCGACGGCCCCAGGGTCAGGCCGCTACTCTACCCCCTCGGCGTGTTTGTGGCATGGACTTTGACGTCATTCCTGTGCCATGAGTGTGCTAAGTTCTTTCTGGTGAGCACAGAGAAGGACGTGCGACACGTGTACACGGACACCGTGTCGTACCTGCACATCTTCTCCTCGTGTGTGCTCACCTCCATGCAGGTGAGTGCATTCTCGTTTTACCTGTACAGTTTACGTCACGTGTTCATGTCTTACCTGTACAGTTTACGTCACGTGTTCTTGTCTAAAATATTTTGGTCATGTGATCTTGTCATACTTGTAACTTTTTGTCAGTTTTTGCGATCTGGTTTATGTTTTGTTTTATGTGACTCAAATGACGGGATATGGTTTTTCATGGGTAGCATATCATACTTGTTTTACTTATCTACGACGTGCTTGCAATTATGGGATATATTTCATTATATAACTGACGTGGTAGAAATTATGAGATACATTTGAATCTATAACTGACGTGGTAGAAATTAGGGGATACATTTGAATCTATAACTGACGTGGTAGAAATTAGGGGATACATTTGAATCTATAACTGACGTGGTAGAAATTAGGGGATACATTTGAATCTATAACTGACGTGGTAGAAATTATGGGATACATTTGATTCTATAACTGACGTGGTAGAAATTATGGGATACATTTGATTCTATAACTGACGTGGTAGAAATTATGGGATACATTTGATTCTATAACTGACGTGGTAGAAATTATGGGATACATTTGATTCTATAACTGACGTGGTAGAAATTATGGGATACATTTGAATCTATAACTGACGTGGTAGAAATTATGGGATACATTTGAATCTATAACTGACGTGCTTAAAATTATGGGATACATTTTATTCTATAACTGACGTGGTAGAAATTATGGGATACATTTGAATCTATAACTGACGTGGTACATCTCTTGCAGTGTATCATGTGTTTTGCGACCTTGAGATTAAGTCACGTGACAAGCGGACACCAGGTGGCGCTTCTGGTCATCACGCACGTGTTGTCTACCCTGGCGACCAATTACAGCATGACCTACATTGAAGTAAGTGTGTCAGTGACACCATGACCTACATTGAAGTAAGTGTGTCAGTGACACCATGACCTACATTGAAGTAAGTGTGTCAGTGACACCATGACCTACATTGAAGTAAGTGTGCCAGTGACACCATGACCTACATTAAAGTAAGTGTGTCAGTGACACAATGACCTACATTGAAGTAAGTGTGTCAGTGACACCATGACCTACATTGAAGTAAGTGTGTCAATGACACCATGACCTACATTGAAGTAAGTGGTTCAGTGACACCATGACCTACATTGAAGTAAGTATGTCAGTGACACCATGACCTACATTTGGTCGTCTCACCTGATCATCGCTGGCACGATTAAATGTCATGATTAAATGTCACCACCAATTGAAATCGATATTTACTGCAACAGTATGTGTTTTTCGTTATGAGAGGGTATCATTTGTATTGATTATATTAAGGTCAGTGTTCAAATATCGGGAGGGTAACAAATCCTCTTCATGAGCTGGTTAATATAAATGTAATGAATGTAATTATTGATATTGAATTAAATGTTTGGACATGAGATTGTAAGTTGCATGCCCTCGCTGTAAAGTGAATTTGGAGTTATAGGCCAATAGCCTCATTCAGCGTCCATACAAAAAATAGACATAACCAATGTTTAATGTCATACATCACATGTGTCGGAAATGTGGACTTAGAATTCTATGACGTCTTGTTTCTTTGGTAACCTTAACCTACTGACGTCTTGTTAATCCTAGCCATAATGACGTCCTGTTAACACTAGTCCTACAGACATCTTGTTAACCCTACTGACGTCCTGTTAACCCTAGCCCCACTAACGTCCTGTTAAACCTGCTGACGTCCTGTTAACCCCACTGACGTCCTGTTAAACCTACTGACGTCCTGTTAACCCTAGCCCTACTGACGTCCTGTCAACCCTAGCCCTACTGACGTCCTGTTAACCCTAGCCCCACTGATGTCCTGTTAACCCTAGCCCCACTAACGTCCTGTTAAACCTACTGACGTCCTGTTAACCCCACTGACGTCCTGTTAAACCTACTGACGTCCTGTTAACCCCAGCCCTACTGACGTCCTGTTAACCCTAGCCCTACTGACGTCCTGTCAACCCTAACCCCACTGACGTCTTCTTAACCCTGCTGACATCCTGTTAAACCTGCTGACGTCCTGTTAACCCTACTGACGTCCTGTTAACCCTAGCCCTACTGACGTCATGTTAACCTTACTGACGTCCTGTTAACCCTAGCCCCACTGATGCCCTGTTAACCCTAACCCCACTGACGTCTTCTTAACCCTGCTGACATCCTGTTAAACCTGCTGACGTCCTGTTAACCCTACTGACGTCCTGTTAACCCTAGCCTTACTGACGACATCTTAACCCTACTGACGTCCTGTTAACCCTGCTGACATCCTGTTAACCCTACTGACGTCCTGTTAACCCTACTGACGTCCTGTTAACCCTGCTGACATCCTGTTAACCCTACTGACGTCCTGTTAACCCTACTGACGTCCTGTTAACCCTGCTGACATCCTGTTAACCCTACTGACGTCCTGTTAACCCTACTGACGTCCTGTTAAACCTAGTCCTACTGACGTCCTGTTAACCCTAGCCTTACTGACGACATCTTAACCCTACTGACGTCCTGTTAACCCTGCTGACATCCTGTTAACCCTACTGACGTCCTGTTAACCCTACTGACGTCCTGTTAACCCTACTGACGTCCTGTTAACCCTACTGACGTCCTGTTAACCCTACTGACGTCCTGTAACCCTACTGACGTCCTGTTAAACCTAGTCCTACTGACGCCCTGTAACCCTACTGACGTCCTGTTAAACCTGCTCCTGCAGGCATCGTCTGTGTTCGCCATCAAACTTCTGGAACCTGTTACAATGGCTGTGGCCCATTACGTCATCATCGAGGCGTCACTCAATGTGGAAACTGTCGTCAGCATCCCCGTCATTATAGCAGGGACCTTCATCTTTACAGGTGAGTCGTTGACCTTCCCCATTACAGGTGAGTCGTTGATTATCTCCCCGTCAGTATAGCAGGGACCTTCATGTTTACAGGTGAGTCGTTGACCTTCATCTTTACAGGTGAGTCGTTGACCTTCACCTTTACAGGTGAGTTGTAGACCTTCACATTTACAGGTTGACCTTCATCTTTACAGGAGAGTCGTTGACCTTTTCTTTACAGGTGAGATTTATTAGTCTAGGCTTAGGGTGAGTAATATAGTAGCACACTACTGCTGGATAGAAGTATGAATTCAAAACAGTCCCAGAGTCGACTCAGCTCTAATGGGTACTTGACTTACACCAGGAAATGTAACACCTGCTTGGCATACGAATTAAAACGCTACCTTTTCATGTGCCGAGGTCAAAGAAACACATGAACTCTACTTGACCTGCTCTATACTCAGCCGGGCCCCATTTATAATTTACTGATATAATCATCTGACTGTTTTATTCTTTAATCCAAGCTTGTATTAGCTCGGTATTTATGAATACAGGAAATTACATTTATAATTTCAGTACAGTTTAATGATTCTCTAATTATTAAATGGCAACAATTTTGTTTTGATACTATGCATTTTGTCCAGGGGCGGCATTTCGTCCAGGGGCGGAACTACAGTGCCGCCAGACCCCGCAATGCGGGGGGGGGGGGGCACGCCATTTAGGGGCCCACAGCCGACCATAATAATTTTTTTTTATAGTTAAAAAAAATCTAATTTTCTTGCATTTTTGACTTGATGGTTGTTTTGTAAAACGATTGCCGTAGCTGCGGTTTGATTATCTTTATTCTATAGACACCACCCCACGCTCTTGTATATTCTTTTTCCCTTTGTTTTTAAACCACTGTGAAAGCCGAGTCCTCTTTCTCCTACAATTTAATTTAACTTAGCAAAGATAAACGTTCAAACCACTTCCTTGACTTATTTCCCTTTTTTAAATAGTAAAATAAGGGTGCTCATAAGCTACTTTTAATAGATTTGTACTAGACGAATTAAAAAGCAATTACTTCTATTAATTATTATTTTTTAATAAAGTACTTACTACAGAATGACATTGTATAAAAAGGAAATGTATTTAAAATTAATAATATAAAAAAAAAATTATATAAATAATCATAAAACGAGACACCATTACTTCTTACAAAGCTTTCATGTTTTATATTCTTTTGGCCGACTATATTTTAACAGGACCTATAGCAGAGATAAATAAAACTGATTTTTCTCAAAACACACTAATGCACTTACACACATGACATGATATTGTAATTTGTTTTAATTGAAAAAAAAACATATTTTTTTCAAAACCCGAACAGGCCTACGAGTATCCTATGTTCGTATTTTGTGTTTGTATATATATATATATATATATATATATATATATATATATATATATATATATATATATATATATATATATATATATATATATATATATATATATATACATATATATATATACACATTTATATAAATACATATATATATATAGGCCTATAATGGCCTATATATATAGATATAGATATATATAGGGGGGCCTAAACAATTTTTTTGCGGGGTGGCCCCTTTTTTCTAGTTCCGCCACTGATTTTGTCAAGTTTTGTTTTGATACTTTGTATTTTGTCAAGTTTTGTTTTGATACTTTGCATTTTGTCAAGTTTTGTTTTGATACTTTGCATTTTGTCAAGTTTTGTTTTGATACTTTGCATTTTGTCAAGTTTTGTTTTGATACTTTGCATTTTGTCAAGTTTTGTTTTGATACTTTGCATTTTGTCAAGTTTTGTTTTGATACTTGTGTTTAGTCCAGGCCTGTCAGTAGTGTTAGTTTAACACGTGTGTTAGGTTAGTGTAAAACTGTGTTGCAGGTACATCTAGCGTGGAGTCAGTAGGTACATCTAGCATGGAGTCAGCAGGTACATCTAGCGTGGAGTCAGCACACAGGTATGGCGTCATGCTGGCACTCACCTCCAACGTTCTGCTGACCGCCAGAAACATCACGCTCAAGCAGATCCAGGTAAAGGACACCATCGTCTTCAACAGCCCACTCTACTTCACCTGCTTGCTGCTAGCACAGACGGGCGTCCTCGCCATGGTTGCTTGGATACATGCTGATGACGCGTTTCCTGTTTCCTTGACACTGGTATACGGAGCGCTGGTCGCTTCCGGCGTCTGTCACGTGGTGTATAATTATATCTCCACATGTGTGGTGCTAAAGGTACGGGGTGTGAGGGTGGATGTGGGGGTTGATGTGGGGGTGTGGGGGTGGATGTGGGGGTGGGGGTGTGGGGGCTGATGTGGCAGTGGGGGTGTGTAAAGGTGTGGGGGGTGGCACAATGTTTTCAGGGTCTACAACAACAATCAAATGTGAAACTTTTTAATTTGTTGCGACCAATTCATCACTCACTCTTGAGCCGATCGATAGATAGGAAGACAGCTGCTTTAAATGCCTTCATAATAGGAACAAATCCAAGTTGGACAACAGTATTTTATGCACATAATGCAGACTGGTAGGTCACAACTGAAATATATCACCCCACTCCCCCACACTTCCCTCACGCCCTTTACCCAAACATGCGTAGAATAATGTATAAATGAGCTCCAACTATACCATTATAAAAATACCACACACTTTAAAAATAATTTTCCTATTAAATAGATCCTAAATGTATGTCATTCAATGTGTCGTATGATCCAATGTGTCGTCTGATCCAATGTGTCGTCTGATCCAATGTGTCGTCTGATCCAATGTGTCGTCTGATCCAATGTGTCGTCTGATCCAATGTGTCGTCTGATCCAGTGTGTCGTCTGATCCAGTGTGTCGTGTGTCGTCTGATCCAATGTGTCGTCTGATCCAATGTGTCGTCTGATCCAATGTGTCGTCTGATCCAGTGTGTCGTCTGATCCAATGTGTCGTGTGTCGTCTGATCCAATGTGTCGTCTGATCCAATGTGTCGTCTGATCCAATGTGTCGTCTGACCCAATGTGTCGTCTGCCCCACCAGGTGATGAACGTGGTGAGTCACTCTGTGGCCAACATTTTCAAACGTCTGATCGTGGTCCTGTTGCTGTACGGCTGGGGACGACGTCAGGCCACCTGGTTCAACTTTCTCGGTTTACTCGTGGCCACACTCGGATTGGCCATCTACGTGCGCGGGAAAACCCGAAAACCTCCGCACATTTCATCGTCTGCTACATCGGAGGGAATCTTTCTAAGTAAGTCATATGTTGAATCAGACGGGAGTCACGTGATACGCACCTGTCGTTAGTTTATTATGCAAATAATATTACAGTACGTTTAGAAACAATCTATATTTGTACTTTAAATTAGAAAACAAAAGGTATTTATTAATAAACGTTTACCATGCTTGCAATTTTAAAAAGCGATAATTAAAAAACTGTTAACGTCTGTGAATAAAAAAATATGTTTTGAATGTTTTTTTTTCAATTGTTTATTGCAAATAAGACAGCAGTTTGTTAATAGCAGACCACCCATGTCTAACACACCTCCCACCCCGCCTCTCACGTGTACACACCTCCCACCCCACCTCTCACGTGTACCCACCTCCCACCCCGCCTCCCACGTGTACACCACCTGCCACGTGTACCCCACCACCTACCCCACCTCCCACCTCCCACCCCACTTCTCATGTGTACCCCACCTCTCACGTGTACCCACCTCTCACCCCACCTCCAACGTGTACCCCACCTTCCACCCCAGATCCCACCCCACCTCCCACCCCACCTCCCACCCCACCTTCCACCACCTCCCACCCCACGTCCCACCCCACCTCCCACCCCACCTCTCACGTGTACCCACCTCCCACCCCACCCCAACCCACCTCTCACCCTCACCTCTCACGTGTACCCACCTCCCACCCCACCTGTCACGTGTACCCACCTCCCACCCCACCCCAACCCACCTCCCACCCTCACCTCTCACGTGTACCCACCTCCCACCCCACCTGTCACGTGTACCCACCTCCCACCCCACCCCACCCCACCTCCCACCCCACCTCACACGTGTACCCACCTCCCACCCCCACCTCCCACCCCACCTCCCACGTGTACCCACCTCCCATGTGTACCTAACCTTCCATTGACTGCTCTCATCATCACCAGAGAACATCCAGTGGCTGAAGTCCAGAAAGATGTTTTGGATGGTGATGGTGTGCTGCTGTATTGTGACAACCATCATGCACACGTCCATGTTGTCACGGCCATTCATCTTCAAGCCGGAAACCGGCACCGGAGAGCCGGAAGAATTTTTATCGTTGCGACTACTGCAGCGCCCCCTGGAGACCAACACAAGGGCAGTTACACTGAGGAAAACACACGATCTCGTCAACGAGATCCAACGGGTTTTGATCAACTTGTTGACTGACGTCATCGGCAACGCGAGTCACGTGATGCTGATGGAGATCGCGACGTACGAGAACAAGGGGGACCCGGCCATTACCGCAGGGGAGGTTATGCTGCTGAGGAAAATGAACAAACGAATCGTCTACTACTGCGAGACCTTCAAGTGTAAGCGGCCAGAGGAAATGGCACTGGCACGCAACATCAGCAGACGATATGACGTCACAGATCTGGTTATTTTAATGCAGGGTGGGGGTAACCTGGTGGGGTACCCGTTTGTAGACACCGTGAGAGAGTCCATCTTGAACCAGTTCCCCACACACAGGGCCATCCTGCTGTCTCAGAGCATCTGGCTCCACCCCGGCTCTGAAGACAGCCTGGCCAACAGTTCACGCATCTACTCCAACCGCTCCAGTCTCTACATGTTCATACGGGATAGACAGTCTTTAGAGATTGCTCGAACTCATTTCCACGGGGTTCATCTCATTCTAGCGCCGGATATGGCGTTTGGTTTGGGCTCTATGCCGCGTGTCATGCCTCCTTATTACGACATTCTGTGGCTTCAAAGAACGGATAACGAAACATCGCACTACGCCCTTCCCACCTTCCCCCCACACGTCTCCGTCATGGTGTCAGATTGGCGCAGGGAGTGGACGTCAAACATCGGATCACGTGACCTGGAGACGTCATTTATTATTGCACAAAGCGGCCTTGACTTTCTGCAGCGGGGGCGTGTGGTGGTCACTGACCGCCTACATGGACATATTTTGTCCACTTTGATGGACATTCCGCATGTCCTCATTGACAACCCGCCCTACTTCAAGCTCTCGTCCTTTGACAGAACCTGGACCGCCGGGTTGGACAACACAAGGTTGGTTCACGACGGTCAAGAGGCGTTGAACGAGGCACTGCTAATGCTGGAGAAATACAACGCGACGTTACCGATAGTTGGCCCCATCGACATGAACGCCTTCCCTGCCATTACAACAACGACGCGACGCACGAAGGTTCAATTCGCTCGAAAAAAACATTAAATGTTGCCAATTTACATCATCTTAAACTAGATGAGCGGACCATAAATTTTGTGCTCAAATTGACACAATGTTTACACATTTTTGGCTTTAATGAAAATCTGTTTGTTATTAGGTTCCAACAATAGTATCAATATGCTTACCAGATTTTCTAGCTGGAGAACTTAATCAATTTATTTACAGAAAATACAAAAATGTGATAAACTAGAACTCAGCTTTTTTTTGGAGGGAGAAAAGAAAAACAAAAATAATGTTTTATTTAAAAATTGAAACTAGCATCAAAACAAAATGAATAACTTATACTGAGCTATTTAAGGCCTTAAATATTTCATACAAATTATTTTTTCCCACGTTTTCTTTAGCTTGCTTTCGCGTCTGTTTTTCCAATCAAATCTCGGGATCGAAATTTCGGGCACTTCCCAGTTAGCTAGCGCGCTAAAATTTTCAGGGAAGCTTTGTTTCCGATGACAATACAATATTCAATTGTTATTATTACTAAATTGATCCATGGAAACATTTTATTGATCATTTTAGACCGCTATATATTTGTACAAAAAAAACGTGTAATTTGATGAAAACAAGGTTCGGTACTCTCCCTCTTTTGGCTTACTGAGTAGTGTTCACGTCGTGTTTGTGTACAAACAACCGGAACAAGTGGTGGCCAGTATGGGGGAGACGATATGGTCGAGTGGTTGGGCACACGATTGCTAACCCACTCGACACGGGTTCAAGGCACGTGTTTTTTACGAGTTGTCTTCGTTTACCCAAAACAAAAAAGTGAATGCGAAAAGATAAAATCGATAGCAAGATTTTAATGCAAACAAACAGACAAAGACTAAAAAGTAGAAAATAATTATCATTAAAAAAGTTTTTAAAAACCCACGTTTTCTGATTGAACAAAAAAGTAGAAAATAAATGCTATACATCACAATAATGCAAGCGATCACTCTACTATAAGCGATCAAAAACGTGGGGCGCCGTGATTTTCTTACAGTTTCTAATACTGTTGACTCTCTACAAGCTCCCTAATAAAAGTCAATAGTATTATCTAATCAATAGTAATTTAACTTTTACTTCGGCGCCCCACGTTTTTCATCGCTTATAGTAGAGTGATCGCTTGCATTATTGTGATGTATAGCATTTATTTTCTACTTATTTAGTTCAATCAGAAAACGTGGGTTTTTTTTTAACTTTTCTAATGATAATTATTTCATCTTAGAAATTGAATAGGTTTAATTGGGATATAATTTAATTAAAAATAACAACTTGCAATATTAATTTCTAATTAGGAGTAGCATCCCTTTAAATTTGTAGTAAAAGATTCGAACATGTTCTCACCAAAACGGGTTATGAATGTCGTGGTCGAGCTGACAGCGCGTTAGCCACTGAGTCAAGTTGCACGGGACTGAACCCTAGCAGTCATAGCATTTTGGTTTCTCCCTACACAGAATCTGCACAGAGGGAAATCACAAAGCACCTGAATGGTTCTAATGCATTGGTCATACTTTGACATTAGCTTTACAAATGTATTCATACATTATTCATATGAGGTTTAAGCTCAGAAAATATTATAGAAATAAAAAAAAAATAAGCATGTAAGCTGAGTTGTGACTTTTTTAGATGTGTAAATTAAAGTTGACTTTCCGGACTTGGCGGTCTACAGTGAGCTGCCCTCAGCCTAAGAAAGGATAGTGCGATGAGCACTATGCTCATACGAAATGTTTTTTAAAAACAAAAACATGTTGGCTGAGGCCTGACGTCATATATGGTGGTCTGGCTTTTTATAACGATTTGCGACAGTGTGGAGAGTGGGGGGGGGGGGGGTAAAAATTGTCAAACAATTGTGACATCAGTTACCACTAAAACCATAGTTATGCGAAAGATAACGAGTAGTCTAGTTACATACAAATGTAATCATGGGATTTCAAAACTATCGCCATATTAATATGTTAACATTATATAGATTTCTATAATATATCTCTGCGAGTATATAGGTATATACACACACACATCCAATCATTGAAAGTATACACGATTTAATAAGAAGTTCAATAGAATATCAGCTGCCAGCTAACTTAACTACTGTTGTAAATGTTTTGATCAAAATGAATTTTGATTTTTGATTTGACTTAAATAATATGTTTGAAAAGTAGTTTGAAATGTGTGTGTGGGTCAGTGTGTGTGGGTCAGTGTGTGTGGGTCAGTCATGTTATCTTGGCATTTACGGCATGGGTGGGGTAAGTGTTATATGGTTACGTTGGGGTGGGGGAAGTGTTATCTGGTTACGTTGGGGTGGGGGAAGTGTTATCTGGTTACGTTGGGGTGGGGGAAGTGTTATATAAATACGTTGGGGGAGTGGGAAGTGTTATATAAATACGTTGGGGGGGGGGTGTGGGAAGTGTTATATAAATACGTTGGGGGGGGGGGTGTGGGAAGTGTTATATAAATACGTTGGGGTGGGGAAGTGTTATATAAATACGTTGGGGTGGGGTGTGGGAAGTGTTATATAAATATGTTGGGGGGGGGGTGTGGGAAGTGTTATATAAATGCGTTGGGGTGGGGAAGTGTTATATAAATACGTTGGGGTGTGGGAAGTGTTATATAAATACGTTGGGGGGGGTGTGTGGGAAGTGTTATATAAATACGTTGGGGTGGGGGAAGTGTTATATAAATACGTTGGGGTGGTGTGGGAAGTGTTATATAAATACGTTGGGGGGAAGTGTTATATAAATACGTTGGGGGGGGGGAGTGTTATATAAATACGTTGGGGGGGGGGTGTGGGAAGTGTTATATAAATACGTTGGGGGGGGGAAGAGTTATATAAATACGTTAGGGGGGTGTGGGAAGTGTTATATAAATACGTTGGGGGGTGTGGGAAGTGTTATATAAATACGTTGGGGAGGTGTGGGAAGTGTTATATAAATACGTTGGGGGGGGGGGGTGTGGGAAGTGTTATATAAATATGTTGGGGGGGGGGTGTGGGAAGTGTTATATAAATACGTGGGGGGGGGGGGGTGTGGGAAGTGTTATATAAATACGTTGGGGGTGTGGGAAGTGTTATAAAAATACGTTGGGGGGGGAAGTGTTACATAAATACGTTGGGGGTGTGGGAAGTGTTATAAAAATACGTTGGGGGTGTGGGAAGTGTTATAAAAATACGTTGGTGGGGGGAAGTGTTATATAAATACGTTGGGGGTGGGGGAGTTTTATACAAACAGCTACACGTACGGTAGGTGGTAACTCAATAAAAATAACATTTATAAAAATTATTATTTTATTATTTTAAAAATATTTTTAAAACAATTTTAAAAAATAGAAGTTTTATAAGATTATGCAGAGGCGTAGCGAGGGCGGGGCGGGAGGTGCGGGCCGCACCGGGTGACACCCGACCTAGCGACGCCACTGAATAAATGATTTTCTTACGAATGGAAAAATACTTAATTCGCTGAAACAGAAAAGCTTAGATCGCGTCTCACATTTTTGTAAAGGTATTTAACATTCAAAACAGTCATTCCCCCCCCCCCCACTTTTATTTTTATTTAAATAGTATATATTTAAATAAAGAAACTCATTTATTTTCTACCTTTTACATAATTATATAATCTTTTGTTACATACATCGTGTTTTATAAATTTTTTGTTACATACATCGTGTTTTATAAATTTTTTGTTACATACATCGTGTTTTATAAATTTTTTGTTACATACATCGTGTTTTATAAATCTTTTGTTACATACATCGTGTTTTATAAATCTTTTGTTACATACATCGTGTTTTATAAATCTTTTGTTACATACATCGTGTTTTATAATTTTTTTTAATACTATAATTATATAATCTTTTGTTACATACATCGTGTTTTATAAATTTTTTTTAATACTTAGAATTTTTAAGACTTACACGTTTGAAAGAGATCGGTCCGTTGGAGGTGGCCAAAATATCTCTCGTCAGTGTCGAGCCATGCTGGACATAGCCATTAAAAAACTTAATTAGCTGTTAATTTGTTTTACGACTTAACATTGATAATTTTTAGATTTGATGCACCATTTAAATATATTTCCACTCTTATGTTAGTGCGAAAGCAAGAGTAGGTCGAATCAAGTTCAAACCAATATAACTTTAATTGATCAAACAATTCAAAAAAAATGCGCACCACCCTAAAAATGTATCCGTTCGCACCACATGGCACTGAGATCTGAAACATAAAAAAACATAACATCATTTGAGTCTATAGAATTATCAATAGTTTTGTCCAAATACATTCTTTGAGCTGAAAAAGTCCAAAGTATTGTGTCTTTAAATAACTTTAAATTAGAAAAAGTTTTCTCTGCTTGCTTGAGGTGGAACTTAAAGGTATTTTGTCCAGAATTTTTTTAAAAATCGGATTCAAGCATTCATTATAATGGCACGGGACGGTAATCAAATACACTATTAGACCTAGACCTAGTCTAGATCTATCATCTAGCTCTAGTCTGGTACCCGAAAATCGTAAGCATCTCTTTTTTCCGTTAACTCGCAACTACAACCGAAAGATTATTAGAAAGCGATGTCGTAATTAAAAAAAAATCGGTAGTTCAGGAATGGTGGATAGATAATCTAGTGACCTGGTGACCTAGTGATTTGGTGACCTAGTGACCTGGTGATCTTGAGATTTTATTCCATGCCAGTTTCCGGCGTGTGGATTTGGAACAGGTTCAGCCGTTCCGGCTAGGTTTTGCTTTAGCGTCAGGACTAAAGTCTATAGACTTTAGCACAAACACGCCCAGACGAAGATTTAGTGTAGCTATCAAACTTAGCCATAGGCTTATTGTTTCGTCCTACTGTACGATTATACAGGTGTATGGATGTTTTCATGGATTAGCGCTAGATTGTAGGCTCTATATTGAACAACCTAACTGGCTATAAAATAAACCCGAGCTTAAGTCTGTAAATGCAGGACTCGTGTCGCGGTACCGTCAGAGCGACGAGTGCCTTGAACTTGAGCTGCTAAAGCCTCTCTCATGTGGAGCCCTGTTGTCGGTGGCCAGTTGTGGAGAAGAGCAACTCCCGAAACTCTACAGCCCAAGCTTCCTTCAAGGCTAAAACAATTGACATCAAACAGATCTGACGACAATGCAACAATCTTACATACAATTATTCCTCAAAATTTGGCACTGTGTTGCGTTCTTAGTGTTGCAACACGCTGTTGGTAAGTGGAATGTGAATCTCTGACCCACTTTTGCACACACGCACATACACATACACGCGCACACACACACACACACAAACTCCAAGTTGAACTTATTAAAAGAGTCTTTATTTTAATAAAATTGAGAAATTTGTTCAGCGTTAATCAAATTAATTACCGACAAAGCCTAAATAATAGATAATTTTATTTTTTAATTAATTCATTTTGGTTATATCTCTGGCAATGGTAAATTTAAATAAACTTTTAATTTATAGACGATATATATATATATATATATATATATATATATATATATATATATATATATATATATATATATATATATATATATATATATATATATATATATAATAAGTTAAATATCTCCAACAGTTGTGAGCATTAAATGTAAAGGAAACAGCATGAAACTGATTGAAGGTGTCTGCTTCAAACTGATCGACACAAGTCTCACCTATTCACAAGCAGTGGTACATACTTGTTAATTGGATCAAATATTTTTTAACGAATTTACAACCTAAATATAACACAAGTGTCCAATCGTTTTCTATACAAACGTTTCTAAGCATCTATTAGGGAGTGTTTGATTGGTTGATTGGTTGATTGGTTGATTGGTTTAGCAGCCATAGATTGGATGAGAAATGTTGCGATGTATTACAGGTGAGCTGCGAGAACCAAGGCTTCTCTATTGCGACATTCTACGACATGGACTTCGCTGCGGTGGCGTTACGCATCATTGGCGAGACGGGGACTGTCAGTGGCGGTAAGGGTTAAGGTTAGGGTTGGGGATAATGTTGGGGTTAGGGTTGGGGTCAGTGTTGGGGTTAGGGTTGGGGTTGGGGTTAATGTTGGGGTTAGGGTTGGGGTTAGGGTTGGGGTTAATGTTGGGGTTAGGGTTGGGGTTAATGTTGGGTTAGGGTTAGGGTTAGGGTTGGGGTTAGGGTTGGGGTCAGTGTTGGGGTTAGGGTTGGGGTTAATGTTGGGGTTAGGGTTGGGGTTAATGTTGGGGTTAGAGTTGGGGTTAGTGTTGGGGTTAGTGTTGGGGTTAGTGTTGGGGTTAATGTTGGGGTTAGGGTTGGGGTCAGTGTTGGGGTTAGTGTTGGGGTTAGTGTTGGGGTTAGTGTTGGGGTTAGTGTTGGGGTTAGTGTTGGGGTTAATGTTGGGGTTAGGGTTGGGGTCAGTGTTGGGGTTAGGGTTGGGGTTAATGTTGGGGTTAGGGTTGGGGTTGGGGTTAATGTTGGGGTTAGGGTTGGGGTCAGTGTTGGGGTTAGGGTTGGGGTTAATGTTGGGGTTAGGGTTGGGGTCAGTGTTGATGTAAGGGTTGGGGTCTGTGTTGAGGTAAGGTTTGGGTTTTAATTCACTAATCTATCTTCTGTTGTTTAGACTTTATTCATTTGTATGACGTGTATGACCAAGAAATTCAGACCTATATGAAAGCTGTGCGTTTAATTAATTCACTCCTCCCTTAACCCCTCCCCCCCCCGTCACCCACCCAGGCGAGCTGCAGCCCTGGGCCAACTTTCTCTACCCCCGGACCGACGGGCTGTGCTCGACTATCAAAAGGGGACAATTTTTTGAGGCTGTTCCCTGCACCGAGAAACATCAGAGCCTGTGTATATCGTCAGGTGTGTACGTGTGTATATCATCAGGTGTGTACGTGTGTATAGCGTCAGGTGCGTACGTGTGTATATCGTCAGGTGCGTACCTGTGTATATCGTCAAGTGCGTACGTGTGTATAGGGTCAGGTGCGTACGTGTGTATAGCGTCAGGTGCGTACGTGTGTATATCGTCAGGTGCGTACGTGTGTATATCGTCAAGTGCGTACGTGTGTATAGGGTCAGGTGCGTACGTGTGTATAGCGTCAGGTGCGTACGTGTGTATAGCGTCAGGTGCGTACGTGTGTATAGCGTCAGGTGCGTACGTGTGTATATCGTCAGGTGCGTACGTGTGTATATCGTCAAGTGCGTACGTGTGTATAGGGTCAGGTGCGTACGTGTGTATAGCGTCAGGTGCGTACGTGTGTATAGGGTCAGGTGCGTACGTGTGTATAGCGTCAGGTGCGTACGTGTGTATAGGGTCAGGTGCGTACGTGTGTATATCGTCAGGTGCGTAGGTTCTTTATAAATGTTACTCACGTTCTTCTGATGGTAAATACGTTTGAGATGGATTTACACAAAGGTACGTATTCTACATACCTACACATACATACACCCACATAAACACAAATATACACACATACACCCATACACCAACACCTATCCACACAAATACACACAGCAACACAACCATCCATTCAAAATTAAAATTAAAATTTATCCGGACGCGAACATTTATTTGGAAACGGACTTTTAATTTGGAACCGGAAATTTTACCGGAAACAAAACTGAATTAGGAAAGGGAAGTTTTCTGGATACGGATATTGTTCAAATCGAATTTTCATTTGGAATGAAATTCAAAAGCGAACGGAACATTTTTCGAACATTTAACCAGATCTGGCAATTAGACGGGAAATGAAACAATAATAATAACTCTAACTTTAAACCTAGACCTAAATATATTATTTTACTTCTGCGTTCTTTTTGTATATCAACCAAAGGTTTTGGTTTTAAAACTTTGGTTCAGATTTTTAAGTCCCGATGGTGATAAAAGTGCGGTTAAACCTTCGTTTCCGAATACATTTATATTCCCGGTTGATTATCCATTGTAAATTAAAGTCTTGAAGTTCATCTAACGGTTTAAGTTCCTGTTTCAACAAACATTTCTAGTTCCGGTCAATTTAAAGAACCGATAAAATTACCGCTTCGAGAAAAAAAGCGTATTCCTGTTAAATTTCCGTGTTTGGTTCAGATGTTTAGTTTTTGGTTTAGGATTAGATGTTTAGGTTTAAGTTTATATTTAGATGTTTAGTTTTAGGTTTAGTTTTAGATGTCGATTAAAGTTTTGGTTCCCGTTACGGTTCTGTTTAAACTTCAAGTTCCTCTTAAAATACCGGTTCCGGTTAAGTTCCTTCTTAGGTTAAATTCCGTTTCAGTTTTAGTTCCTATTCAGGTCAAATTTTCAGGTAAAACTTACAGTTCCGGCTTAAATTCCGGTTAGTATTTTAAGTGTGTAATTTGTTTCAGAAAGAACAACATACGAGGCTGCGGGGACGATGATGTGCCGGTGTCAAACGTGGGAATGTGACGGGGCGGGGGGATGTCTGGGGGAATCCCCCGACTGTCAGAGACACTGGTTTGGTGAAGGATGCCAATACAGTAGGTCACATCATGATGTTGTCATGTGTCGGTCACATCATGATGTTGTCATGTGTAGGTCTCATCATGATGTTGTCATGTGTAGGTCACTCACATCATGATGTTGTCATGTGTAGGTCACATCATGATGTCATGTGTAGGTCACTCACATCATAATGTTGTCATGTGTAGGTCACATCATGATGTTGTCATGTGTAGGTCACATCATGATGTTGTCATGTGTAGGTCACATCATGATGTTGTCATGTGTCGGTCACATCATGATGTTGTCATGTGTAGGTCACATCATGATGTTGTCATGTGTAGGTCACATCATGATGTTGTCATGTGTAGGTCACATCATGATGTTGTCATGTGTAGGTCACATCATGATGTTGTCATGTGTAGGTCACATCATGATGTTGTCATGTGTAGGTCACATCATGATGTTGTCATGTGTAGGTCACATCATGATGTTGTCATGTGTCGGTCACATCATGATGTTGTCATGTGTAGGACACATCATGATGTTGTCATGTGTAGGTCACATCATGATGTTGTCATGTGTCGGTCACATCATAATGTTGTCATGTGTAGGTCACTCACATCATGATGTTGTCATGTGTAAGTCACATCATGATGTTGTCATGTGTAGGTCACTCACATCATGATGTTGTCATGTGTAGGTCACATCATGATGTTGTCATGTGTAGGTCACATCATGATGTTGTCATGTGTAGGTCACATCATGATGTTGTCATGTGTAGGTCACATCATGATGTTGTCATGTGTAGGTCACATCATGATGTTGTCATGTGTAGGTCACTCACATCATGATGTTGTCATGTGTAGGTCACTCACATCATGATGTTGTCATGTGTAGGTCACTCACATCATGATGTTGTCATGTGTCGGTGACATCATGATGTTGTCATGTGTAGGTCTCATCATGATGTTGTCATGTGTAGATCACTCACATCATGATGTTGTCATGTGTAGGTAACATCATGATGTCATGTGTAGGTCACTCACATCATGATGTTGTCATGTGTAGGTCACTCACATCATGACGTTGTCATGTGTAGGTCACATTATGATGTTGTCATGTGTAGGTCACATCATGATGTTGTCATGTGTAGGTCACTCACATCATGATGTTGTCATGTGTAGGTCACATCATGATGTTGTCATGTGTAGGTCACATCATGATGTTGTCATGTGTAGGTCACATCATGATGTTGTCATGTGTAGGTCACATCATGATGTTGTCATGTGTAGGTCACATCATGATGTTGTCATGTGTAGGTCACATCATGATGTTGTCATGTGTAGGTAACATCATGATGTTGTCATGTGTAGGTCACATCATGATGTTGTCATGTGTAGATCACTCACATCATGATGTTGTCATGTGTAGGTCACATCATGATGTTGTCATGTGTAGGTCACATCATGATGTTGTCATGTGTAGGTCACATCATGATGTTGTCATGTGTAGGTCACATCATGATGTTGTCATGTGTAGGTCACATCATGCTGTTGTCATGTGTAGGTAACATCATGATGTTGTCATGTGTAGGTCACATCATGATGTTGTCATGTGTAGGTCACATCATGATGTTGTCATGTGTAGGTCACATCATGATGTTGTCATGTGTAGGTCACATCATGATGTTGTCATGTGTAGGTAACATCATGATGTTGTCATGTGTAGGTAACATCATGATGTTGTCATGTGTAGGTCACATCATGATGTTGTCATGTGTAGGTCACATCATGATGTTGTCATGTGTAGGTCACATCATGATGTTGTCATGTGTAGGTCACTCACATCATGATGTTGTCATGTGTAGGTCACATCATGATGTTGTCATGTGTAGGTCACATCATGATGTTGTCATGTGTAGGACACATCATGATGTTGTCATGTGTAGGTCACATCATGCTGTTGTCATGTGTAGACACGATGTTTAGACTATATGTTCTTTAGACATCACTGTCTATGTTCTAGGTGCTCTATACACATCACGATGGTAGATATAGTTGATCGCTTTGACTGCAGAGCCAAATTTATTTAAATATTGTCAAAACTTTCACTTAAAATATTATCAAAGCTTCATTTGAAATATTGTCAAAAGTTTCATTTGAAATATTGTCAAAAGTTTCATTTGAAATATTGTCAAAAGTTTCATTTGAAATATTGTCAAAAGTTTCATTTGAAATATTGTCAAAAGTTTCATTTGAAATATTGTCAAAAGTTTCATTTGAAATAGTGTGAAGACTGTGTATGATTGCAATATCGTGAAGACTGTGTATGATTAAAATAATTTGAAGACAGTATGATTGAAATATTTTGAAGACTGTATGAATAAAATATTGTGAAGACTGTGTATGATTGAAATATTGTGAAGACTGTGTAGGATTGAAATATTGTGAAGACTGTGTAGGATTGAAATATTGTGAAGACTGTGTATGATTGAAATATTGTGAAGACTGTGTAGGATTGAAATATTGTGAAGACTGTGTAGGATTGAAGAACTGTTTAGCCCAACGTCTCATGTTGTGCAGGGAACTTGGGCGAGTACGCAGACGTCGATACCGTCCTCCTGGATGGGGACAGTTACACATGCTACGAATATCGGGGCGTTTTCGATATTAACTTGTCAGTGAAAATCTACTTCACCTGGATGAGGATAGTAACAACTAGTCGCGACCTGACGAAAAGTAAGAAACACATGCACATGTGACGTACGGACATACAGACATCTAGTGACTATTTTATTAATAGCTCAGAACGTTTGCTTTGTGAGCTGAATATTTTGGACCCACAAAGTACATTAGTAATGGCTTCGTTGGTCAAACTTGGTGGGATAGGTGGTCAGATGGGGGAGGGGGAGGTGGGATAGGTGGTCAGATGGGGGAGGGGGAGGTGGGATAGGTGGTCAGATGGGGGAGGGGGAGGTGGGATAGGTGGTCAGATGGGGGAGGGGGAGGTGGGATAGGTGGTCAGATGGGGGAGGGGGAGGTGGGATAGGTGGTCAGATGGGGGAGGGGGAGGTGGGATAGGTGGTCAGATGGGGGAGGGGCATTAGGGCCTACGTCTGCTATCCCTACGATCTGTATGACGTCACTGAACCAACCCATCCTCGATGGTTGCATAACTTATGTTAGGTAAATCTCAGGTGACAGGGCATAGAACTTATCACAATCCAAGTTGACAGGGCATAGAACTTATCACAATCCAAGTTGACAGGGCATAGAACTTATCACAATCCAAGTTGACAGGGCATAGAACTTATCACAATCCAAGTTGACAGGGCATAGAACTTATCACAATCCAAGTTGACAGGGCATAGAACTTATCACAATCCAAGTTGACAGGGCATAGAACTTATCACAATCCAAGTTGACAGGGCATAGAACTTATCACAATCCAAGTTGACAGGGCATAGAACTTATCACAATCCATATGGACCTAGAATAATTTAAATACTTGATTAAAACGCCAAAAATCGTAACGTTTTAATAAAGTATGAGGATTAAAGTGTGTGGATTAACGTGTCTAGATTATCGTGTGGATTAACTTGGATTAACGAGCATGTCAATGCTAACCACAGAGAACTACACATTAGTGCTGACCAACAGAGAAGTGGGATCTGAACCCCAGGACAATCATCCGCGCTTCAACGTGACTGGAGGAACCATCGACGTGCAGGGTACCACGGCGGCGTACATCGACGGCATCAGCTTGACCGTGGGCGACAGGCTGGAAGTCTGTGAGCTCTACATAGGCGGTGGTAAGCAGGAGTCAGTTCTACATTGGGGGGGGGGGGTTAGTTGTAGGTAGCTCTACATTAGGGGGGTGAGGTTAGTTGTAGGTAGCTCTACATTAGGGGGGTGAGGTTAGTTGTAGGTAGCTCTACATTGGGGGGGGGGGTGTGAGGTTAGTTGTAGGTAGCTCTACATTGGGGGGGGGGGTGTAAGCTGTAGTCAGCTTTATATTAGCTTTACATTATTCGGTATATGTAATTATATTTTAGGGTATTGTCACATATATGCTAAAACTCTGAAATCTTTATCAATATATACCAACCTACCGCCCCACTCCATCTGTACACTTTACATTTCCTTCAACCCAAATCTTTGTTAAAATTCCCCCCCCCCCGCCCATCCCCAGGCAGAAACGTGGCGTTTGCCCAACCAACAGAAGACTCGAAGATCTCGAACGATACCTCGTTTCTGGCAGTCGATGGCCACGACCAGAGGACTAGCGACTGTTACCGTGGGCAGTTGAACAGTGAGCAGTTCTGGCTGGTTGACTTCCGCTCACCCTGCATTGTGCACGAGATTGTCATCAAACGGAGATTTGGTGAGTGCTCGGGTCAAGGTCACATTCCAAGGTCACGTTTTTAGCTAGTGTCATTAATTACGAAACTTGTACATACAACTAGCATACAACTAGGAAATATGTCCGTCATACAACTGACCATTCATTTTGTCTGTCATACAACTGACCATTCATGTCTGTCATACAACTGACCATTCATGTTGTCTGTCATACAACTGACCATTCATGTTGTCTGTCATACAACTGACCATTTATGTTGTCTGTCATACAACTGACCATTCATGTTGTCTGTCATACAACTGACCATTCATGTAGTCTGTCATACAACTGACCATTCATGTTGTCTGTCATACAACTGACCATTGATGTTGTCTGTCATACAACTGACCATTCATGTTGTCTGCCATACAACTGACCATTGATGTTGTCTGTCATACAACTGACCATTCATGTTGTCTGTCATACAACTGACCATTCATGTTGTCTGTCATACAACTGACCATTGATGTAGTCTGTCATACAACTGACCATTGATGTCTGTCATACAACTTACCATTCATGTTGTCTGTCATACAACTGACCATTCATGTCTGTCATACAACTGACCATTCATGTCTGTCATACAACTGACCATTCATGTCTGTCATACAACTGACCATTGATGTTGTCTGTCATACAACTGACCATTCGTGTTGTCTGTCATACAACTGACCATTCATGTCTGTCATACAACTGACCATTGATGTTGTCTGCCATACAACTGACCATTGATGTTGTCTGTCATACAACTGACCATGTCTGACAGTCAGCAGTAAAGACTACTCCCATATGTTTGGCACCGTGATCCACCTGTACAACGTGTCTGGCGAGCCGGTGGTGCTAGAGCGTCAGTTTGACGACAGCATCAGCAGCATTGTGAGGATCTTCACCAAAATCACTTTCCCAATCACGCGGATCAAGTTGACCTTGACCTCGTCCAACACTAGAACCTACCTGGAAATTTGCGAACTGGAGGCTTACGGTAAAACCTCTACAATAAGATCGTTTTAAATTCACTAAAATTTCTTTTTAAAATCTTAAGAGTAGCTAGTTTTAAATATACCTTTGGATAAAAAAAAAACAAAAAAAAACCATTTAAATTTATTTCTTATATTTATAAAAAAAAAATTTGGTTAAAATAGGTATCGTGATTTAGTAAACAAAACCCGTTAAGCGAATGTGTACAGTGTTCAGGTATTGAGACAACAAAACCCGTTAAGCGAATGTGTACAGTGTACAAGTATTGAGACAACATAATCAAGACTCGTCTATGTCCGTTGCACGCCGGTGTAAAAACTTTAGTCAATGAATCCTGAGATTTGGTTGTTAATTTCTATGATAATGTGCTTCAGTATTCTGTAGTGACGAGTTACATTTTTACTGTGTTATTAATTAATAAGCTAATTAACTACTCGCGTGTACGGTGTTCGTAGCTTTGATCACATGTACTTGTGAAACGCACCTGTAAATGTTGATTGAATGAAACTGTAGCTTTGATCACATGTACTTGTGAAACGCTCCTGTAAATGTTGATTGAATGAAACTGTAGCTTTGATCACATGTACTTGTGAAACGCACCTGTAAATGTTGATTGAATAAAACCTGAAAGAAACCCAATTCCCCAGGAGAGTGTGAGCCTCAGCCCAAGACGACGTCCAGCATCATCCAATCCTCGTCCAACCCCAACGTGTCCAGCCACCTGCTGGAGTCTAACTTCAGCGCCAGCCCCATCTCAGACGACGTCGAACTGCCACTGGGGAGGAGGGACTACCCTTACATCATCTGCGTCGTCTTTCTCGTCGTCTGCGTCATGACCTACATCATCGGCACGTATCTCTCGCACGTGGAGAAGGAGTTCAAGGTCATAGGCAAGAAGAAGATGTCAGAGGCATATTCTTCAGGTTAGTGGCAAGTTAGTAGCAAGTAAGTTGCAAGTTAGTGGCAAGTTAGTGTACGGTTAGTGGCTAGTTGGTTTAAGGTTAGTAGCAAATTAGTGGCAAATTACTGTAAGACTAGTGGCTAGTTATAGGGGCAAGTATTTTAAGTGTGCGACAGACTTGCGTCCCCTTCAAGACCTAAACACAATTGAATAAACTTGTGTGCAGTGTTCACACTTCTCCCCACAGAACGCATCACTTTGTGCCATGTTTAACATCTCCCCACAAAACCCGTCACTTTGTGCCATGTTTAACATCTCCCCACAGAACCCGTCACTTTGTGCCATGTTTAACATCTCCCCAAAGAACCCGTCACTTTGCACGATGTTTAACATCTCCCCACAGAACCCGTCACTTTGTACCATGTTTAACATCTCCCCACAGAACCCGTCACTTTGTGCCATGTTTAACATCTCCCCAAAGAACCCGTCACTTTGTGCCATGTTTAACATCTCCCCACAGAACCCGTCACTTTGTGCCATGTTTAACATCTCCCCAAAGAACCCGTCACTTTGCACGATGTTTAACATCTCCCCACAGAACCCGTCACTTTGTACCATGTTTAACATCTCCCCACAGAACCCGTCACTTTGTGCCATGTTTAACATCTCCCCAAAGAACCCGTCACTTTGTGCCATGTTTAACATCTCCCCACAGAACCCGTCACTTTGTGCCATGTTTAACATCTCCCCAAAGAACCCGTCACTTTGTGCCATGTTTAACATCTCCCCACAGAACCCGTCACTTTGTGCCATGTTTAACATCTCCCCAAAGAACCCGTCACTTTGCACGATGTTTAACATCTCCCCACAGAACCCGTCACTTTGCACGATGTTTAACATCTCCCCACAGAACCCGTCACTTTGCACGATGTTTAACATCTCCCCAAAGAACCCGTCACTTTGTGCCATGTTTAACATCTCCCCACAGAACCCGTCACTTTGTGCCATGTTTAACATCTCCCCACAGAACCCGTCACTTTGTGCCATGTTTAACATCTCCCCACATAACCCGTCACTTTGTGCCATGTTTAACATCTCCCCAAAGAACCCGTCACTTTGTGCCATGTTTAACATCTCCCCACAGAACCCGTCACTTTGCGCCATGTTTAACATCTCCCCACAGAACCCGTCATTTTGTGCCATGTTTAACATCTCCCCACAGAACCCGTCATTTTGTGCCATGTTTAACATCTCCCCACAGAACCCGTCATTTTGTGCCATGTTTAACATCTCCCCACAGAACCCGTCACTTTGTGCCATGTTTAACATCTCCCCACAGAACCCGTCATTTTGTGCCATGTTTAACATCTCCCCAAAGAACCCGTCACTTTGCACGATGTTTAACATCTCCCCACAGAACCCGTCACTTTGCACGATGTTTAATATCTCCCCACAGAACCCGTCACTTTGTGCCATGTTTAACATCTCCCCAAAGAACCCGTCACTTTGTGCCATGTTTAACATCTCCCCACAGAACCCGTCACTTTGTGCCATGTTTAACATCTCCCCACAGAACCCGTCATTTTGTGCCATGTTTAACATCTCCCCACAGAACCCGTCACTTTGTGCCATGTTTAACATCTCCCCACAGAACCCGTCATTTTGTGCCATGTTTAACATCTCCCCAAAGAACCCGTCACTTTGCACGATGTTTAACATCTCCCCACAGAACCCGTCACTTTGCACGATGTTTAACATCTCCCCACAGAACCCGTCACTTTGTGCCATGTTTAACATCTCCCCAAAGAACCCGTCACTTTGTGCCATGTTTAACATCTCCCCACAGAACCCGTCACTTTGTGCCATGTTTAACATCTCCCCACAGAACCCGTCACTTTGTGCCATGTTTAACATCTCCCCACAAAACCCGTCTGTGAGGGTGGAGATTTTTATGAATGGCCGGAACGAATGAATCCAACAACACGCAGTTCAAGTTCAACTATAATTGTTCTTTATTAAAATGATATATATGTTCAAGTTTCTACCTAACTGATCTACACTGTACTATTTACTTCTACTACTGACTGTTCACTATACTACTAACTCCCACGACCAATCCTAACACTAACTGTTCTCTACATTCTACAAATTACAACCGTCTCTAACCGCTTCCTAACACCTTCTCTCCTCGCTATCTACCTATCAACTGCCTATCGCTCTACTGACCCACGCCTCAGTGGTCAGCTGACCGTCCCATGTGACCGGTCAGCCCTGTGCGCCCATTGGCCTCTATCTGACCAACCAACTAGGCCTATAGATAGTCTGTTTCTGCTAACCTATATCTGCTAAACATGTCTGACGTAATCTTGCGTCATCACATATCTCCCTCCCTTTCTGTAGCTGACAAATTATATTTTTCAGCGTCTGCTACTAATCTAATACATCAACAACTATCTATCTTACTACTCTATTCTATCCCTAACATCAATCATGTAAATCAAATAAAAAATGGGACAGCACAGTTTACAAAAACATAAAATCTTGTGTCTGTGTTCCTGAAAAAAAATGTCATTGTTCTAGTTCTCGTGTAAGTGTCTTGACGTTGAGTGTTTCTGCTTGATAATGTATGTCTATGTTTCATGGTATGTGTGAATTCAATCATGTGCAACTCAGTTCTGGCTAGGTTGTCGTGTACTGGCCTTGAGCAAATCTTAGTAGAATGTGTAACTGGTTGAACGGGCTCTGCGAGCAGTGTAAGTGTATGTGTATGTGTTATGTAATTGCTGGCGTTCCTCTGTGGTGGGTGGGTTGTGGCGAGTTTTGATGTAAATTCCCGTGAGGCGGGTGTAGGCGTAACTTTCGTTGGTCAATGTGATGACGCAACAATCTGATCTCAAAGCTGGTTGAGATGTCCACGTAGAGTGGTTATACGATGAACTGGAGCTGTCTGATGCGGTGGTGAACAATGACGTAACATTCCGACGCTGGAACTTGGACGATGGGTCGTCTACCCTTTGTATGTGCCGACGTAGGTGTACGTAGCTGGCGGTCTGTTATTCAACCGCAGTGCGGGGCGAAGCGGTGGCGATGCGTCCGCTGTCTTGACCAGGGCAATTCTCTGTTCAGCAGGGCTGTCCGCTGTCCAGGTAATTCAACGTAATCAGGGCTTCAGGTGGCGGCATTCTTTGAAGTGTCTGCTTCATCTCGTCTCATTCTGAATAACGCTGGTGGGTCTGAAATTGTATTACGAGACCATGAGCAATGGTTCTACGTGGACTTTTTATTGCCCGCGCAGACAAGTATTCAGACAGAGGTACCTTCCATTAAAAAAAAACCTCAATCCCGAATTTAAACGTGCTGAACATTTGTCTGGCGGTATAACAAACATTAAAAAATAACATTACAACATAACCAAATAAAAAATCAGTACACTCTAATCTAACAACAATCTGTAAAGCCTAATAAACTCAATAGACGTAAACACTACTAGAGCTTAGAAATAGCTTCACAAAAAAGAATAGACATGTAAGTGTATATAAATAATCGTGCCGTTTCAAATAACATTTGCACACGTAATCATATAGTGGAGCAGCTCTCACTATCTGACTTCTGACAAAAACTGGCTGGCTTGACTTAATGACTGACTTCACTTATGACTTCAGTAACGTGACTGACTTCAATTTAACGACTGATTCCACTTTGACGACTTCAATTACTTCAACTTGACGACTAACTTCACTTTGAAGACTAACTTGACCTCGGCGACTTCACTTGAATTCAACTTAAAAGACTTCAATGACCGACTTAAACTTCGACGACTTAAACGTCTTCACTTTGACTTCAAAGACTTTTCCTTGACTTCAACGACTTCAATATGACTTCAAATACTTCACTTAGTCTTCAACAACTTCAATATGACTTCAAATACTTCACTTTGACTTCAACAACTTCAATATGACTTCAAAGACTTCAATATGACTTCAACAACTTCAATATGACTTCAAAGACTTCAACGACATCACTTTGATTTCAACGACTTCACTATAACTTTGACGCTTTCACTTCTTCGCTATGACCTCAACGACTTTAATATAACTTCAAAGACTTTTCTTTGACTGCAACATGACTTCAACCACGTCACTATGACCTCAAATACGACTTCAACAACTTATTGACTGACTTGACTGACTTTAAATAACTTCTTTGACTTCAGTCCTGACTTATACTTCACGCCGATTTCTCGGCGACTTAGATTCCTAACATTCTTGATGACCAGAGTTGTATGACCTATGTTCTAGTTGCGTGACAGCGTGTCGGCCAACACGTTTTGTGTGCCGGGGACAGGAACAATGTCAAATTGATAATCTTGTAAGCTCAGTGCCCAGCGTACCAGTCTTGCGTTTGACAGCTTCTTTGTTTTTAGTGCTTGTAGGGGCGCGTGATCGGTCTGTAAAGTGAAGTGTGCACCGGCCAGGTATCTGGCAAACTTGTTTATGGCCCAGACTATGGCCAGACATTCTTTCTCAATGACTGCGTAGTTTTTCTCAGCTGACGACAATTTTCGGCTAATGTATTGAACTGGGTGGAGTTCATTGTTAAATTCTTGTAACAGACATGCACCTATACCGACCGAAGAGGCATCCGTGCAGAGGATAAAGGGTTGATCTGTATTTGGTAATCTGAGAATAGGTTCCGATGCGAATGCTTGTTTTACCCTGTTTAGTGCTGTTTCACATTTTTCTGTCCACAGAAGTTTCTTATTCTTTTTGTCCGTTTTTGTTAAATTCGTTAGTGGCTCTATGATGGTGGCGAAATTGGGTATAAACTTCCTATAGTAGTTACACAGACCGATCAAGCTACGGACCTCTTTAATTGATGTCGGCACGTTTATGTTCAGTATTTTATTCACTGTAGGTTGGAGTGGCTTTTGTTGACCTTGTGAAATGGAGTGACCTAAAAATTCTATCTCTTCCATTCCTATCTCTATTTTGCTAGGTTTAGCAGTGAGTCCATGCTGCTTTAATATTTCCAGCAGCGTTTCCAGTCCTCTCACATGCTCTTGCCAGGTATTGTGGAACAGACATATGTCATCCAAGTAGGATATGAGGTCGTCTCGACCTTGTAGTATTTTTCGCATGAGTCTGTTGAAGGTAGCCGGTGCGTTCATTAGCCCGAAACTCATGTACTTCCACTGGAACAAGCCAAATGGTGTTATAAAGGCTGTGAGGTGTCTCACATCTTCTTTTATTGGTATCTGCCAATAACCCCTGGATAAGTCAAGCTTTGTAAAGTATTTAGCCTGTTTAAGTTTAGCAAATAAGTCTTCTGGATTTGGCATTGGTTCTGCGTCTGGTATTGTAATGCTGTTCAGTTGTCTGTAATCAATACACAGTCTAAGGTCGTGGGATTTTTTCTTTACTAATACAATAGGTGCAGCATATGAGGAGTCGGAATGTTCTATTATTCCAGCTTGTAATAATTCTTGGATTTGGTTTTGTACGTTTTCTCTGTGATGTATGGGAATGTTGTATGCGGGCATTTTGGTTGCTCTAAGTGAGGTCAACTTAATATCATGGACGATTGTATCTGTTTTACCAGGTTGTGGGGATAGTACCTCTTTAAATTTTTCTAATATTTCCTTGATTTCTTTTTCGATTTCTGGCGGCATTCTGCCGATTTTGATATCTTGCCATGTTTCCTTGCTAGTAGGTAATGTGTATATTTTGCCGATCGAGTCTGTGTCATCTTCGTGTAATTCTGCGCAGTTTATTGTTGCCGTTTGTTTAATTTCAAGCTCTTCTGGTCTTAAGGTGTAAGGGCTCAATATATTTGTGTGAAACGTTTTTTTCTTCCCCTTTATTTCGACCTGGTAATCTACATTTGAAATTTTGGCTGTGATTGTGAATGGGCCCTGCCATGCAAGCTGTAATTTGTTGTGCTTAGAAGGTAACAGTATTCTGACCTGTTCCCCTACTGTGAACTGGCGTAGCTTTCTATTCCTGTTCACCCTGTGTCTTGCTATTTCTCCCTTTTCTTGTAGCGCGAGCTTTGCTTCCTGGCATGCATTGATTATATTTTCTCTAAGATTGACAATGGCTTCATATGTTGTTCTGGTTTCTTGTTCTATGTTCTGTTTGTAGAGAAGTGTCCTAAGTATATCCATGGGGCCTTTGGGGTTGGCGCCGTAGACGAGTTCGAATGGAGAAAATCCAGTAGAAGAATGAGGTATTTCTCGATAGGCGAATAGGATACATGGTAGCATGGTATCCCAGTTTTCTGGATTGTCTTTAGAGACTTTGTCTAGTAACGATTTAATGGTGCCGTTTAGTCGTTCACACACGCCATTGCTTTGAGGGTGATAGGGCGTCGTGAATGCTTGCTTAATCCCCAGCACACTCGTGAGTTGTCTCGTTAAGTCGGAGGTAAATTGTGTGCCCCGATCTGACAGTATGGTGTCCGGGAACCCGGTTCTTGAGAAGAACGTGAGTAGAGCGCCTGCTATATCCTCAGATGTTATCGTCTTTAGTGGGAAGGCTTCTGGCCAACGTGTTGCAAAGTCGACTATTGTGAGGATGTATCGGTGACCACGTTTTGATGGGGTAGGCAGTGGTCCTATGATATCTATCGCTATTTTTTCGAATGGTCTGTTAGCTAAATCAGTGGTTTGTAATGGGGCTTGGGGTGGTCTAGTGGTATCTCTATTCCTGCATGTCTGACATGACTTCACGTACTGTGAGATGTCTTTGTCCATGCCCGGCCAGTAGAAGGTAGTTTCAATTCTTTGTTTTGTTTTCTTTCTTCCCATGTGTCCTGCAAGTGTAAGGTCGTGTGCATGGTGTAGAATTTGTGCTCTGTATTTCTGTGGGATTACTAATTGGTTTATTTCTTGTCCTTTGCTTTTATAT